TACAATGGAAAGTACTGGCCTGCCGTAAGTCGGCAAGCCAGAGTGGATAGGCTGCCGCCATCTATGAGCGATGGCGGGAACCATATACGTGGCTTGCCGCTGTCGCTCATAGATGGCGGTAGCTGTCCAGAGTTCGGTGTCTTCCTTTCTTGGCGGGGCCACGATCCTGGGGAGACTAGCCCTGAAGAGCTCCGCTGTAGAAACTGAAATTGTTGGAGTGTCGGGAGACTAAAGCGTTATGCCTACAGATTTATTTATTTATTAAACAATCATACGCCGGCAATTTTGTATATGTCTCAATTAACCTATTAGGACACTGCCCTCGCTCGTACTCAACCGGCTGGTGTTCATGGAGCAGCAAAGCGGAGCACAAAGCTACTCTAACTGATGTTATGATCGACCACCCAGAGGGCAGGTTCGGCTTCCTGGCGGCGCCATCAACCACCCATCGAGTGACCAGAGACTCGGGCTCGGCATTCTGGCGCCGCCGAACATGCCGACCGACGCGGCGTGGGTGGGGTGCGGCTTCCGGGAGACACCGAGCGGGCCACCCGGCACAGCGGGAGCTGACCCCCCTGACACCCCGCTGAGAAACGGGGGCCCGCTTCCTCGGCCTTCGGACCGGGTGCTAACGAACGACGTAGACAAGCTAGTGGAGACGTTTGGGTCTCGGCGTGTGATCGGGAGAGCTGCCTGTTCCCGCTACTTAATACACCCATTGAACATGTCCACACGTACAAATATCTCGGGGTTCATTTCACGTCAAACTTATCATGGGAAGCTCATATTAATCAGATCGTTGTAAAGGCAAACCAAAGCCTCGGTTTTTTGAGACGAACACTACATATGGCTAACCGGGAGACAAAACTCGTAGCTTACACTGCCCTTGTTCGCCCGCAGCTCGAGTATGCATCTACAACATGGAACCCCCACCAGGCTTACCTAATTCAGAAATTAGAGTCGATCCAAAGCAGGGCAACTCGGTTCATTCTTAAAAACTATACACACACTAGCATTACTACGCTAAAAAAAGAACTCGGCCTTCCACTGCTCGCGGAAAGAAGGAAACTGACCAGACTAGTTTCATTGCACGCTTTGTATTATCTGGCCCCTTTAAAGAGAGAATTGTACTGTCCTGCGGCTCATCACATTTCTCCTCGTACAGACCATTCTCAGAAAGTTCATCTGGTAACACCAAGGACCAACCTTTTTAAATTCTCTCCACTGCAATTATCACTTTCAGAATGGAACTCTCTGCCAGAACATATTGTTACAATTCAAGACTCATCTGGATTCAGAGCTGCACTTGCTACTTTTCTCGATATTTAGCAACCTTTAATCCTGTTTTTTCCTTTCTTTGTTTGTTTTTGTTTGCTGCCAAAGCCCCCCCTTATGTAAAGCCCTACGGGCGCTTTAAGGGAACAATAAATGAAAATGAAATGAAATCTTCTGGGAGACGGGACGAGAGGGGCGCTTGGACCGGCATGTGACCACGTCGGAGGTCCGCGTCCCGGGAGACCTGCAGAGACGTCCCGTGGTGACGAAAGTGCCCTTTCCCCTCGCGGGACCTTGGACAGGGACCCCCTCGCCACTTCAAGGAGGCTACATCAGCCTGTGCTCGGACTCGTCAAGAGTCTTCCCTTCTCAGACACCAAGACTGAAAGATGACGATGTAAATATTCCTGTATGTAAACGTCTTCTCCTCTCAGTGAACGCTCCTCAGTGTCTTCGGAGTCTACGACGCTTGGAAGTGGGAGCACGCTCGGCCCGGAATCGTAACAACTGGATGGCAGCGGTGGGATGGTCTGTGCAGAGTCCTGGTTGCTGTGTTGGTGAGTGTTCAACTTTCTCTTGGGATTTGCCAGGTTTGAGTAGATGGTGAAGTTTGCTTAAACTTGGTGATATAGCTGCCGGGGTAGTTGGCTTTATTTGGGTATTCCCCGACAGAGAGTAAGGTGAAAGATTGTCACTCGAGAACAACCAAGGATTTGAACAAGTTGCGCAGACCAGATCTGATTCTTTTGAGTAAAGAATTGGGGCTCGATTTGGGGGAGTCCAGAGAAAACCTCTCATGATCGAGGCGATTCGGGCGAGTGGTGCCGACGACGTGGAGCTTCGGGAATGCTGGAAGCTAATCGAGGAAAGGATTAAGAGAGAGGAGGAAAGAGTTAAGAAAGATGAGGAAAGACAAGGGAGATCGCAGAAAGAGAGAGAGAGCGTCTTTATTGCAGAGAATCAGAGGAAAGGGAGCTGGAACGGAAAAAGTTAGAGCTTCAGATAGCCCAGGTGGAGGCAGAGCGTGCAGGCCGAGAAACACCGATTTCTAGGGTTGGTCAGGCTACACCGCGGCTGAAAATGAAAGACCTCCTACAGCCCTTTAAAATTAAAGAAGACATTGGCTTGTTTCTTGTAAATTTCGAAAGAACATGTGAGAAGATGGACTATTCGCGCGACACCTGGCCGCAATGGCTCTTGACAGTTCTGCCATGCGAGGCCGCCGACGTGGTGGCTCGGCTGGAAAGAGCGGAGGCAGACGATTATGACAAGGTCAAATCGGCTCTTCTGAAGAAGTACCGCCTTTCCGCCGACGCCTTCCGTCGCCGATTCCGCACTGAGAGAAAGAAGTCGGATGAGTCCTCCGAATTCGCTTACAACCTGAAATCCAATCTCGTAGAGTGGCTGAAAGGAGAGGAAGCTTTGGGAGACCACGACAAGGTGGTCGAGTGTATCGGTCTCGAACAGTTTTATAACTGCTTGACGGAGGAAACCCGCCTGTGGGTGCAGGACAGACCGGGAGTTAAAACGTTGGAGCGAGCCGCCGATCTGGCAGAAGAATTTGCCTTAAGGCGCGATGCTGAGAGAAGCCAGGTTCGTCTCGGGGCAAACGCAGGCGGGGAGCCTTCCAAGAAAGTTGGTGCGCACGGAAAAGAAAATGCCGGGTCGCAAGGACAAAGTCTGTGTCAGCTTTATAGCAATCTGGCAGATCCCAAGGTTGGCTGCGCACTTGCGGACCTGCAACCTTGGGCAATGTGCGGCCAGACCGTTGTTTGTTTCATCTGGTGCACTGACGAGCTCCCTTGAGAATGTGACTGCTGCAGTCCCCGAGAGACACTCGGCGAGCGACTACGGGTTCTTCGGGATGCAACGTGGGCTGCAACCCTTTCGACCCCTCTTCCCCGGCGGCGGAGGAGCTGTTATGATCGGCCACCCAGAGGGCAGGTTCGGCTTCCTGGCGGCGCCATCGACCACCCATCGAGTGACCAGAGACTCGGGCTCGGCATTCTGGCGCCGCCGAACATGCCGACCGACGCGGCGTGGGTGGGGTGCAACTTCCGGGCGACACCGAGCGGGCCACCCGGCACAGCGGGTGCTGACCCCCCTGACACCCCGCTGAGAAACGGGGGCCCGCTTCCTCGGCCTGCGGACCGGGTGCTAACGAACGACGTAGACAAGTGGAGACGTTTGGGTCTCGGCGTGTGATCGGGAGAGCTGCCTGTTCCCGCGATCTTCTGGGAGACGGGACGAGGGGGATGCTTGGACCGGGGTGTGACCACGTGGGAGGTCCGCGTCCCGGGAGACCTGCAGAGACGTCCCGTGGTGACGAAAGTGCCCTTTCCCCTCGCGGGACCTTGGACAGGGACCCCCTCGCCACTTCAAGGAGGCTACATTAGCCGGTGCTCGGACTCGTCAAGAGTCTTCCCTTCTCAGACACCAAAACTGAAAGATGACGATGTTAATATTCCTGTATATAAACGTCTTCTCCTCTCAGTGAACGCTCCTCAGTGTCTTCGGAGTCTACGACGCTTGGAAGTGGGAGCATGCTCGGCCCGGAATCGTAACACTGATCACAACGAGTAGCGCTAGCTATTCATTGCGATCGATGTGAGCACTGTTCACAAAAAGAAAAAAAATAACTCGTCGTTAGGCACGTGCAAATAATGAATTTTGGGTTCGAAGCAAATTCAAAGTGAATTGTGGTTTTGGCCCAATATTTTTGAATAAAATGTTGAAGAGTTGGTGTGCCTCTCCACGCCTTTAACTACTTTTACACGATGCTTAAACGAAAATTCGGCTGAACTCGCAAAGGTTGTTCCTAAGCTCCTAATTGCCAACTCCTGACCTCTGTAAAATTTAATCTAGCTATAGTTATAGACTGTAGCCTCAGGACGTCCAGCACTCCCGATAGGATCGCAAGGAAACGACAGATATGATACAAAATTAGACCTGTAAAGGAACCCAGCCATACCTAACTGAGGGGATTTATAAATATTGTTGCTGTATGAAAATATTTTCTTTAATTCTAAATATATAAAAGAAGAAAAAAAAAACGAAACAAGCACGATTAATCAACACAGGATTTTTTAGAACATCGCTGCCTAACATATACCCTAGTATAAAATCCACAGTTAAATTTTGAATATTTTACTGCGATGTAATATGAACAAGCACAAAATTTCAATTTTTTTTTTTTAATACATTAGGCGCGCGCGTGCACCACTTTTGAAGGTGTGTTCTTCACCTGATAGCGCGGCTGCGCTGCGGCAAACGAGTCGCCAGATCGCTGTGTCCGCTCCACGAGTATTGCTTCTCTGCAGTGCACCGGTGCTTGAGGAGAAGCGCACTCAAGGGGGATAACCCGCAGCGATCAACACTTAGAAAAGTACGAATATCGCAGTTCATTTGGAAGCGAATATCAAATAACGTATTATTTGAAACTATTAAAAATTTTGAATATACGCGCAGTCCTACTATTCGCACATAGCAATTAGGCATTAAAAAAAAAGAAAAAAAAAACACGGTATTTTCTTAATATTTCGTGTCATCGCCAACATTGCCACGTGCCAGACACTTTTAGTTTTTCTTTCGAGAACAGCTCCCTTTTGTCGCCCACATGGCGCAAATTGTGCACAAATACAGCCTTTGGAGAAGCGTGTAACAGGTTATTCGCACTGGCGCAGTTTGGCGCAGCAGTTGCCCCACCGACATGGAGCTTTGCTGGTCAGTACGTTTTTTACATGTTTATGACATCCATGGACGAGAGGACACTTTACACGATTGATGTTTTCCATTGCCCTCGATACCACACCACCCGAAGTAGACCTCGGAGAAACTGCTGAAAAAAAAAAAAATATATGAACTTTTACTATTTTTGTGGTGAAGCACTGCATGGAAGTCAAGCTTGTGCTCGTGCTTGCATTGCACCCATGTCTTGTAGCTGCACTTATCACCCAATAACGCAGGAACAACTCCGGAAATAAAATCATTTTCAATAAAGAGGCAATCAATCAAATGGGTGAACAAAGTCTCCCCATGTTCACTTGAACATAGGGGCACGAACCTTTACGCCGTGCACAAAACAAACAAACTAAAAGAACAAAAGTGTTTTTGCTGAGGTTTAAATTTTAGGAGGAAGATATTTGTTGACACGAGGAAGATTTGCCAGCTAATTTTATGCGGTATTAAAGGCGATTTTCATCCGCCATGGACGGGTCCGTCTAAAACAACAAAACCCTCCAAAAAAAAAAAAAAAAAAAGAAAAGCTAATCCCAGAAAATATAAAGTTACGTTACACTTCGCGACTGACCCTGAAAAGGTTGTCCTGGACACGGATTTTTGCAAAGCTAAAATGTGGTTGCATTCAAGGAAGTTAGAAGACGTGGAGAGGGCATGGCGTCAGCCCTCCTCAATGGACCTTTTTCCAGTAAGCGTCTGCGCACGCGCACACCCTTTTCCCTTGACCTTGACCGCCCTTTCGCCATTTTTGGGGGGCACTGTTTTCTTGCGACACTAATCTGTTTCCATGGGAGAAGGCGAGTCCGGTTGCCCTCCATTTGTAGTAGGCGGCGAAACCGTCATGAGGCGCTCCTTACTGGAAAAAGGTCCATTAGAGGACCCTTCCCATGATGCTCGCGGTTGTTGATGGTTTACATGTTTACAATGGCGCTCGACGAGTCCGAGCAAGCGTGGCGTTCGGTTCTGATCGTCACTCCTGGAAACTCGGCAATTATCGACGATTGTCGCTATGTTCTTGGTGACGGGAGCGAGGCTTTTGATAGGTGCCCTGTTGGACGCTGACGCAAAGCACGATCACAACGAATTTGCTCGTGTACGTCGACTGGCGATCGCGTTGGTGTGCGCCGCAACTGAAGAAAAACATAGTACCGATTGCGTGTGACCTCAGGTATGTACAAATTAACTAAATAGATGTTCCTAAATCAGAGCGGAACAAGCGTGCGACTGTATAAAGAGATAGTGATTGGCGTAAAATATAGAATTCGGTCGTAGCTGAGTTTGGGACGCCTAGCGGGATTACGACTGCGCGTCAGTACGAGGGCCTTACCAGTGAAACGAAATTCCCGCAGGAGAACGACCGGAGCGAATTTTGCAGCCGCTCACAACGCAAAGCCCCCTCACGGCGACGCGCGACGTCAACCACTTTCATTTCGCTGGCCTAAATGCCGCGCGCGTCTGCTCGTGACCGTACCACCGTGCAACGTACTAAACAAACGCAACGCAATGCAAAGATAAAAAAAAGGGCTCTGGTAGACATGATTTGCGTCACTCGGATCCTCTCAGTGTTTACAAAATGTTTTTGATGTTTAGGTTCTCCTTGTTCACATTTTCGTGATGCCCTCTCCACGCCTTCTAACCTCCTTGGTTGCATTAGTGTAAAATAAAGTAGATTCGTTCAAACTTAAGTTGCCATAAACGTGTAACAAATTGAAAGCAAGATACCCACCAGACCTGGTCTCAGGTTTGTCAAGAATGCTCTGGGAGCTTCTGTACAGCCGTGTCGAGATCGTGTTCGCTCACATAAAAATGGACCAAGCCATCTGCCTCAGGTTTTTTGGTCTTGGGAAGAACCTGCAGTCGGCTGTGTGAATACAAGCAAATATGCTTGCATTATATTTTGTCACCGCCAATCCTAACCCAATAGAGGCCACTATTTCAGAAGCTGCAGCATGTTTAGTCAACAATTATTCTCAATTTACCCAAGTACAGCTCTTTCTCACTGACATGATCTCGTTCCATTTACCAGTGAACACCATAGTTTCGTTCCCTACACAGACTGTTTGCATATAGCAAATAATTGTACTAATTAAGTCAGTTAATTCCAGAGCAACATAGTTTAAGCGAAATTTAAGTGTATTAAGCGATTGATAAGTGAGATATGACTAGAAACGTTAATACACAACTTGAAACACGGCCATTGGTCACTGCCTCAGACATTGTGGCACCATCTCTGGAGCAGCCCCAATTTAAACATACAATGCTGGCATCTTCTGACAGCTTTATCATAAAGGCTTTCAACAAACTCATAATTAATGATAATAATTACTGAAGAGGGGGAACAAGGGGGACAAAGGACAAACACAAATCTCCAAACACAGCTAGGTGACTGGTGCGTAAGTGAAAAAGTCCGCATGATACTGTGTTTGGAGATTTGTGTTTGTCCTTTGTCTCCCTTGTTCCCCTTGCTCCAGGGATTATTATTGTTATTCTTGTCCAGGTCGCTTGCACCCTTGCACTATCATCATAACCTTAAAATGTAGGCCGTTCACCCTTGTTGGTGTGGTGGCAGCTGTTAAACCCGTTTCCTCTACTGACGTCTAACTCCTGGTTAGCTCAGTTGGTACAGCGCTCCACTGGAAATGGAGAGGTCCCTGATTCGATAACAGGACCAGGTGGATTTTTTTAGTTGCGCACCAGTCTCCTAGCCGTGTTTGGAGATCTGTGTTTGTCCTTTGTCCCCCTTGTTTCCATTGTCCAGGGATTATTATCGTTATTCTTGTCCAGCTCGTTTGCAACTCAGCATTAATTGCAGTATCATCATACCCTTAAAATGCAGGCCATTAACCCTTACTGGTGTTAGGCTGGTGGTGGCTGTTTAAACCCGTTTGCTCTACTGACATCTAACTCCTTGATAGCTCAGTTGGTAGAGCGCTCCACTGGAAATGGAAAGGTCCCTGGTTCGATACCAGGACCAGGCAGATATATTTAGTCGTGCACCAGTCACGTAGTTGTGTTTGGAGATTTGTGTTTGTCCTTTGTCCCCCTTGTTCCCATTCTTCAGGGGTTATTATTGTATATTTTTGCCCAGCTCGCTTACACCTTTGCATTATCATCATACTTAAAACTTTCCACTAACTTTGGTTTGCACATGCAGACTAAACCAACAAGTGCGAGACAGGGGCGGATCCAGAACTCCATTCTGGAGGGGGGTGGAAAATTCGTAAGTATACTATTCTCCCACTCTTTCTTGTGCACCGGCGGGTCCACCCATGTCAAATTGCCCCCCGAGAAGGGGAGAGAGGGGGGGGGGTCGGCTTCGTTTGGGGGGGGCAGTTGCCCCCCCCCCCCCACTTCAAACAAAGCCGACCCCCCCCCCTCCCCCCTTTTTGGAGGGCAATTTGACATGGGTGGGTGACATGAGCGGTCGCCCCCCGTCGCCCCCCCCCCCCCCCCCCCCCCCCCCCCCCCCCCGGATTCATTCCTGGTGCGAGTACATGCCTTCCAGCTACAGATTACAGCCTGCCTTTATCATTGTGCCATTTTCATGGCTGACACCAACCTGTACTGCCCGGAAAGCGTCTCTAACTGTCACGTTAGCCGGGTCTTCATTTTTGACCCCTTTACTTTCAACTAGTGAAGTCACCGCCTCATGCAGTGACGTCACGAGTTTGTTATCCTCACGGCAACAGAGCAAAGAAGGTAGCTACAGCGGCTGCCTGCTCTGCTGTAGCTCAATCCATAGCCCGACTTCCGACTAAAACTTCGCCAGTCATAGAGTGGATGCTACGATGCTTGCCTAATTTCATGCGTATTTGGCGGCACTTCTAGCCACCGGGATCGCAACAACTCCTGCGTAAAGTGCCGGCTCCTGCGCCATATTGCCGCATCATCATTGAGAAGAAACGCTTCTCCGTACTTCTAGAAGATTTGAGTTTACTTTTACCTCGAGTGCAAAAGATAAGGAGGCCAACACGACCTTGCCGAGCCAGTCTTGTCCTAGCTAACTCCTGAACATTTTAGGTTGAATATTCGATGATGAGCGTAGGGAAATAAGGAACCGAGCCTGGCCTTGCCGACACACTCTCCAGACGACGACAAATTCTCTCTCAGCATCACTCCAACCACCTGTAACGTTACTCTTTCTCATTCTCTCTTTTGTTTCTGGCACAAGTTCGCCTATTAAACCTTTATTTCCAGTTTACGCTCGTCGAGCCTTTTCCATCCACAACAGTATTTTGTTGCCGCCTTGGAGGACTCCCAGCAGCTTGAGTGGTACAAGGTGCTAAAAACATCAGTCAGAGATGCGTTTCATACTCCATAATTAAGAAATGCGCACTGTACCGAATCTGACCCCCTCTGGTAAGGTTATTGCACCCCCAAACATAAGAGTGGCCCCGGCCCGGTGTACGAGCACTCACCTTCAACGAGAGGACAATGGTCAAACACAAGTATGCTTAGATTCGGACAGCTGCTGTAGAGGCCTTCAATGGCGCAGTTCGTAATACTCCTGCAGCCCCTCACAATCACCTCCTAGAACAGAAATTATGATTGTAGCTCAGAATTAAAAATGAGGCATTTAAGTCATTTGTAAATGTGTCCCCCCAATTTCGTTTGTTAGCATAATACAAAAGACAACCTCTCTTAAAACTTCTAAGTGTTATATAAAATGTTGGATTTCTGCAGAACAGAAATTACCAATTGATCAAGAAAACATTTTATGTGTGCACGTAGCTTGCATGTGATGTCATTCGCGGCCATGCCAGTATTTTATGTGCTGTGAGCGTTCGGTTCGAAGTCTTAGTTTCACACTGCAGAAATTGTGGTTTGAAGAAACCAGTAAGTAGAAATAATCGTGAGTACAGCAATGGTGACCCTTGCAAGCTCTGTATATGGAACCTGCCCAAAACTGGTTTGAAAGCACTTATTTATTTTTGCAAAAGGCACTTTAGGTATTAAGAGAATATTTCTTGTTCTTTCACTACCTCAGATGCCTGCACCCACATTACAAACTCGTAACAATGTCTCCATAAAGTAAAGCTGAGGCATTGATTTAATAAAAGAAATTATCGGGCACTTGGAGGCGGCATAGACATGGTTCTTCCCTGTATTTGATGTACAATGCTTTTGTAAACCACTTTTGAGACCAGCTATATTTGCACTTTGATGAACTGTCCCTTATATGTCTGATTACGTACCGGCAAACAGGCACAAAAGTAGATAACCTGAAACCTAATGATGAGGTCCTTTTCAAATCAAAAGCATTACCGTAAAATCCTGAGATAACCCACCTAACATCAAGAGCGAATCAGGTGAAAATATGAAGTGGCCTAACTTTCGGTGTACAATGAAGAAAATTTTAAAACATTTTTAGGTCATGTACCTTTGAAGCTTGTTATGGTGGCGAGGAACAACGAAGCAAAGATGACTGTACTTCCCAGCTAACAACGTTCGCTTATATTCCACAATAGCTAACTAGCCGCACTTACGCCGAGGTCATCATTGACCCCAATACTACTATTACTAGGAGTCGGGTACCTTTTGGTGTTTAAAAAAAATAGCAAATCAAGCCAAAAATAGGGGTGGGCTATCTTTCGGGGGTGGGGCATCTCTTGGAATTTTACGGTAGTATTTTATGAGCAGCTTGCGGTGATGCATCATATAATGCTAAAAATTATAACCTAGGGTGGACAAATCCCTCATGCTGCCCTTGCAACAGCGTGGAAAGTGCAAGGTCTAAGATCAAAGTATAGCAATAGCAACGTTTGCCTGTTCATCGAAACTCGAAGTACTTCCATGAGTTACACATTACAGTCCATGCATTTTGCACTGCTTCGAGAGACTTGTAAAAAGTTCTGGTCAAGCTCGGCATAGGACTGCAAAGGGGCTGATGTCTTTGCAAGACCATACAATTGCTGCAGGTCAAGATTACTACCTTCAATGTCAACCTGCAGGGGCTCTGAAAGAGTGATGCGATACCATCATCTGTGATCTGAAAACAAGCAAGAAAAAAAAGCAAAACCTTAGGGTGATTTAATTTTGAAAGAAATGATTCCTGTTTGAATGCAAATAGCCAACAGGCTACAGAAAACACTAAATTTAACACCACATTACAAAGACTTTTCCTTGTTCTTGCACATGCACTTTTGACCTGTAACAAAACAGATGGCAAGCTGATGCTTTGAGTTTGAGAAAAAGACCTATGAGAATGCTCCTGGGGATGTACACCATTTAAATGAGTTGATAATGAATACTAGTAGTTGTTTAAAACGTGGCCTTTAGGCATATTGACAAAAACCCGAAACTGAGGAACACATAGAAGAGAAGACACCTAGTGTCTGTTTGTTGCCTTTTCCATGCATTCTCCATGCTCAAGATTTTGCCATCATGAAAAGTCAGTGGCTAGCTTGGCTTTTAAGTATGTATCATTAGAGCCGTTTATGGTTTCAGAAAAGGAGGGTGCAATTTAGTCAATCCAGTTGCCTGAGCCCTGCGCAATGGTCAAAGTAACCTGTCATGTAGCGACAAAGAGAATGCTGGAAACTTAGGCAACACACCTATTTGCTGCTTGTGCTCGCCTCATCGGCATAAAAGATTCAAAGTAAAAAACAAAATAAGATGTAGAGAGATGCACATGCAAGGTGCTATTTGTTATGAGTTTTCTTTTGAACAGTTACTGGTGGAAACGCCAGCATGTGCAACACATGCAACTACACTTGCAGCATGTTCCTCAGTGCTTGGGTACCATTTTTTCTAGACAGTAAAGTGAAAAAAACTGTAAAGACCACATGTGAAACTCTCATACATGACACACCTTGAAAGATGTGTTTTATTAGTGCACGAAGCTTGTATAATACAGATATGATCCTCAACATAGCCTATTCACAAAATTCATGTTTCATTGCAATGAATTAAAAAAACAAACACGATTTCCTAGTATAGTCTGTGCCGGTAGATAGACCGCACTGCTATAATTTCAACTTGTAAACTTGGACTACAGTCTGCAGACTGTAGTCTAAAGAATACAATAATTTAGCAAAAGTTCTGCTGCGGCAGAAAACTGCAACGGTTGAAACAGTCACCTGGGTGTAGGAGAAGTCCACACACTCTAACCGGTAGCAGTGCTGTCCCAGGGAAGAGAGACACTGGTCCTCTACATTGGAGCACCCGGAAAGGCTGAGTACAGTCAGGGTTGGGTTTTGCCGAGACAACATGGAAACCAGGGAGGACTTCACGCAGCCTCCTTGCTCCAGGCGGAGCTCTTTGAGGTTGCAAAGCTCAGACAGGACTTTGCAAAGGTCTGGCTAGAACAGAAAAACCGTAGTTGAGGTCTCCGGTCTTTGACATCTAAAAGGGAGCTCCGGCGAAATTTTGCTAGTCAGTTATTTGCCCCAAAAATGGTTAAACGTGACAATGGACGCGTCTAACCTTCCTAATATTTCCCAATGACTTTCCAATATTTCCCAATGAAGAAACATGTCCCGTTCGTGCTTATTTCATAAAATATTTCATTACAATTCTTCTCTCCGACAGGGGTTACCAACACCACCCTAATACTTATCAGCATGCATCAACCAAAGCCACAAAGTTGGCATTCCGTCTTGCAGCACAAATATATTTATAATTCTTTCATTTCCACCAAGTCGTCGAATTTTAATCACCTTCCCACACCAGTTTGAAATTGTTGACTCTAACATTTTCAGAAATCCTGATCCACCTTCATCGTTGTCGTGATCCATAATAAATGCAAATTTTTTTCTCTGCATTTTGTTTATAACTCTTTTTTGTGTAACATCTTTGGCACTCAGAATAATAAAAGATAAATAAATAAATAAATAAAAACTAAAATAAAAGGTAAAAGCTATTTATATGTCGCAAAGTTATTGAATTTTCAAACTTGGTCAGAGGAGGATGAGTCAAAATTTTTTTAGATGATTTGTGTCTGCATTAGAATGGCAATTTGGGCTAGTTGCTTCATTATCACGATCAAAGCGCCGAAACCACATATGCACAATAAGAAACAGGATGAAGACAGGTCGCTACTCGCAACTAACATTTATTAAAACCCATCTCTTATACACTCTTGATAAAATACATAGTCACTCCCAGATCCGATGCAGTCCCTTTCTCAAAAAAGCGTGCTCTTCCGCCGATAATGACACAGATGTGTCGCTAACACAACTGATTACTTTTTTTTACTTTAAAGGCCTTGTGCAGCCATGGCCATGTATAGAGAGTGTTTGGTCAATGGAAGGACCGGCGAAAGCTGGGGTGGAGCGGTGAAAGCGGCAGCGCCGTATATTTCCACTCGTGATTCACTTGGGAAGTTAGAATACGCTCGGATGACATTAAAGAATTCACGTAGCATGGCGCAGGTATTTTTTGTTTCTGGACAAGGCTGAAAGTACATGAATATAAGTGTAAGAGATTGGTGGAAAAGGGGAGTTTAAGCGTCCTGGTGCATTTACTGAGCCAAGAAAAGTGACATTGATGAGAAAAATTTCCTGAAATATGAGGAGACACTGCGAATGTGGGGTGCATGTTCGGGGATTGGCTCGAAACTCCCAAGGCGCTGAATCCGCTGTTTTTACTGCCCACTCCACCATGGCCGTGGCTGCTGCGCAGTGGGCACTAAAAAGGCATCAAAGTTGGACGTTTTTTCTCACATATTTCTTTTTTGCCTGAATCAGTGTTTATGGTATGCTATTTTTGCGTAAGGGATAAGAGACTATTTTCAGTTCCCGTGTAAAATGTGCCCATGGTATCAAAGGGTGCAAATACTGTAAATAAGCATGAAGACCAGTGTGTATATTATGTATGTGTCCAGTGTGCATTTAAATTGATGTCAATAAACTTTTTCTAAACAGTCAAAAGAAAATTTGAGTGTGTCACTGAATGACAAGGTGTCCAGTGGCTGCAATGTGAACTGTATGAGGGAGATGCAGCAAGTTACCTATCAGAACAGGAAGCGGAACTAAAACAGCCAAAATTAAGACCCTACAATGATTTGAATGTTAGGCAATCAAGCCTTGCGTTACAAGAAGCTAAGCTAAACACTCGCTCCTCAAAAGAGGAGCGAGTGTTTTCTTAATAACACTGTAAACCAAGGTGACTAAAGCAATACTTTCCCTCATTCGAATTGCCTTTTATGTTCGGAAAGATAACACAGCTGCATAGGTAGTACTATACATCACGTTCTTACATTCTTCGTCAGATGGCCATTTAATTGCAGGGCCGATCTCCAATGAAGTGAGCCGGGAGCATTTTCTCAAGTGGTTCAACCCTTCCGCGGTGACCTGGCTGCTTTGAAGTTTTGCCTTTTCAGAGTTTGTATGAAACACCTGAGTGCAGAGGAATATAATAAAACAGAATTGTTTTATTTAGGACACATACATTTATACAAAGTCCACTATTGAGCCGGCTAAAGCGTCAAGGGCTTGTGTGAAAGATGATACGGTTGTGTCCTGTTAACATGAACCAAGCTAAAATAGACACCCCACTGTGGAGACAACATTTCCTGGTACAGACAGGGCAAGTATACACATTTTTGTCTCGTTATTATGGACAACTCAAACTGTGGATTGGAGGCTTTTCTAGGAAAACGGAGCTGTCCGTATTAAAATGGGGCATCACTCTATCACTAAAAGACGGAGCCACCTCAACCAAGTCAAATACGCTGTTTCCAAAAAAGTGGAGAAAAACATTGTAAATTGCGTCGGAGGACTCCTTGGTACAAAATAAACGGCTCCACCAGGAAGGCGAGGAAGGAGCTCTGTTGTACAAACTCGGGGGGGGGGGGGGGGGGGGGGGGGGGGAAGACAAAAAGACAAGCCACTATAATCACAGAAAGGACGACAGTAGCAAGCACAGTGGGAGGCAACGAGCGCATGCTGAAGACTAGGCATCGGAAGGAGGTGCTGCGCTGTTCTCGTCCCATCGGCGACCATAAAGGCACAAAAGCGAAGCTTCTGAAGCTCGGTCTAGGTCACTGCAACTTAATGGAGTTGGCACTGCAATCCACTACAACTCGGTAAACGGCTAACACTGCGACTTCAGCGAGCCAACCAGAGCGTCGGAACAGACCATGTGACGGCAAGAGTAACATCAGAGTGCACTGCTCCTGGAAAAAGCTGCCACGTTTCGCTCGCCCGCTCAAGCACTTGCTCGTGTCATGGCAATGCGCAGTTTGTACCAAAATCTGTGGAACCCGCGATTTCTGAAAATGGGACATTACTTACTAGATGCATGGTGCGGTCGCTTATCAGGTTTCTGGACGCTAGAACTGTGTGCAAGGCATCCATCACACACGGTGGCAGGGAGACGCCATCGAGAGAGTCGCCCTTTTCTATTTTACCCACTACAGACTCGAGGCAACTGAAAAGGATGGAAAGAAAAAAGTTTTCATCTTATTGCCCTTCGACCCTAGAGTCGTGTTGAGCAAAACAGTGAGGGAACGAAAGAGCCGTTTTGCGAGAGTCATTATAAACCGTACCGAAAACGTGCCTTTGGCCGGTGCCACTTTCGGCGTTTCTGCATACGGCACATACTTCTGCTCCCTCTGAGCGACAAACGTGCATGTGTTGAGTTATGAAGATGGCACTCCAGGTTGAGATTTCGTAAACGTCATGGTCCGTTCGATTCGGCCAGTTCTGACCGAGCTCAGAGGAGTGCAGGGGCCGTGCAGTGGTGGTGCAGAACCAGTGCAGCCACTGCGTTAGGACTGGCGCGGCTATCAGTTCCCGGAGCGGAAGCACAGGGCGTCGTCTGCGTCTCTTTGCTCTTGTTTCTCCACGCCAGGTCGTATGCTCAATATAATTCTTTCCAGTTTAATGAGACCGTTCGTGATTCTTTAGTTTTAAAGTATATAAATGAAACCTCTTCTGTGAATGTTTTTTATTGGACATGGATATTTTTCCGGCAGCCGACACAACAATTCGGGAAAAATATTGCCTGCAGATCTCCTCTATTGGCTGGCTATACAATCACATGACAACTGCCGGAGTTGTTTGCATGTGATATTGTGATTGTAGCATAGACCTGGGGGAAAAAAAAAGGCCCGCTGCTTTGGACACTTATTTAACAGTTTAGACTTCGCGAGCCCCGTAGCATGCACTCATTCGGCGATTTTTTAGAAGGTTCGTAATCCTTTTGAAATACCTGTGAAAGAGGAACCAAATCCGCGGGCTCTAAAAGCGGTGCGTATGACAGTTGCTGGCGTGCTGTAAAAGCTAAGCGGGTGTAAACATGGGAGACGACGGCTCCAGTAGCGAAAGCAAATCTGAGGACTCCTAGAGCCTGCAATATTCAACCCTGGGACAACATAATCCAAGCCCCGCAGCCTCTTCCTTCCGTACCGTAAAACAAGCGAGGCGGCAGCATTTCTGTGGCAATCCGATCAAAGGTAGGGCAGCGCGAGCGCTCGCTGTTGACTAAAAACAAACACTTTACTAAGAGAATACAGGACACCCTCATTTGCATTAGACAGAACGACGGCAGTGCCAGAAACCAATTCTGGTGGAGTGGTTTACTCGGCGACGCCTCTCTCCCCACCACATGCTTTGGCAGCAAGCCTCCGCTTGCTGCCAGAGCATGTGAAGGCGACGCCTCAGAATCCGGTGCAGTTGACAGGGTTGTGGATGCAAAGACGGTAAAGGCTGAACTGTATGAAAGCGATTTAGCGAGCGACAACGATAGCGACGGGCGACGGTGACCGCGACTTCTCATTGTCGCTCAGTTTTTGTATTTCTAGAAAACATTGCTCATTGCCTTGGTTGCTTGCTTCTGTCGCTTTCATGCGGTTTGCCTCGCTGCGCGACTGACCGAGCGACAGCGAAGCGGGTCGCCGTTGCTTGTCTCGTTGCTCGCCAAATCGCTTACATGTTGGCACTGCTGCCGCTATGCACATTTCCTCCAATCTTTGTTGTCGTCATTTTCTATGTATTCCAGGGAAGTATCCATTATTCCTTCAGTAAAGTATTTGCTAAAGATGTGGACACACACACACACCTTTCTTCGGAAATGCCACAGTGAGTTCCTAGAACGTTTTGCCACAGTTGGACGTCCCTTGATGGTAGCCAGCCAATGAGAGGACACTGGCGGCAAAATATCCACTTCCATTTTTATTCTATTCGAGTGTACTAAACATGTTTCCAGCACGAAATTCATTTCTGTCTGCATTTTTAACGGTTACGGTTCGCTTTCTATCGTTCATAATTTCCACCGCTCGTCGCTGACTCTCGTCGCTTATGCCGTCGCTCGCTAAACCGCTACGTATGCCACGATAGAATTTACATTGATTTGACAATAGTAGAGTAGTTCCAAGCCTCTCGAGTTTCCCATTTCGACGATAGGCTCGCGGCATCAGGATGATTTCGCGTCGAGAACTGCTGGTGGCAGCGCGCAGTAGAGGTCAATTCGAAAGTTATTGACCGTCACTTTGACACCAAGTTGAAGCATTACTCTGACTTTCAAGAAAGATCTGCGTGGAACTACCGATCCATGCATCGCTGATTCTCTGCGTTTTTTCCCAGGCCCGTTAGTGGGCGGCCCCGGATAACAGCGGACAAAGCATGCAGCATCACCCTCAGCTAGGAGGGCATGCAAACGTACTAAACCACAGACCTCTGCAATGTACCGAAGTCCTGCCGTTCTCATGCCTTCTTAACAATATCGCATTTTAGTAGCTGTTCGGGCACGTTGCAACGTGAAAACAAATTGCCTACATGCGTTCCAGGGAAATGGGATTCTGTGTCGTGGAACAGTGCATCATAGTAGAGCTGTCGAAAGTCGGTCAATCAAATTCCACCACCACAACGCGGACTTGTTTACATTCCGCCCAGCTAATTGATTCGGCCAGCGCCTTTAAAGTTCGTAAAAAAAAAAATCCTATTGTTATGTTTTTAATTATTAAACATTTATTTGTTTAGTTTATATTCAATATTTTATAAAAGTGTTAATAAAGAAATATTGTGTTCATATATTGCTTTTTAAGAACTACTACACTGAGGCAACAATAAGGACAGACATCTGTTGCCTAGCAACTTGGCAGCCTCGCGTTGCTAGGCAACAGGCTTGTAAACAAACTGTTTCGACCCGCTTCTCGTAGCAGGAATTCTGTCGCGCAGGATTTGGCGATGAACGCGGACCGATTTCGACTGATTATCATTCTGCAAATGTCACTCTTGACTGCCGACGTGTTGATTAACATTTTCTCAGAGTATCCACGACGTTCGGCGGAAATCCTGCTCATACTATTCATGTGAGTGAAAGTTGTTTCCTGACGAATCCCAGAAAATCAAAACCAACTTTACTTTTTTTTTTTTTTTTTTCAGAATTCAGGATTTTTGCATTGTCGTGAGTCTCCTGGTGATGTGCCTAACAATATGTAATACATACATCTTCCAAGTGGGCATGTTCAGGGAAGTTTTCTTTATGTACAAGATCCCAGTGCTGACCAGTTTTTCATACCTGTGCTTGTCACTGCTGCTCCATGTATGGACCATGGTGGGTTCGATTGTTTCCATCTTTTGTAAATGCATACAACTAATGCCTACTTACCCCACACACATTTCATGCAGCAGGAGGCAAGGCAGGAAAGTGAAAGCCTCTCCAAAGAAGTAACAAATGTTGTACTCTTTGTGCTTCAGCGGTTTGGTGAGGAACCCTTTGCCAGACTTCAAGCGCAGCCTCTTAGTTCAGAACGACGCAAAAAAGTACTTGCCCCTTCATAGCCTATCTAAATTATTCAACTTTTACAAAGCCCCATTTTCTTGACCAGGGGTGGATGCTGGAATTTCCTGAGGGAGGGGGGGGTCAGGTGTTGGTCAGCGTACCATGTTTAGGAACCCCCCCCCCCCCCCCCCCTCTCCCATGTTTCAAGCCCTAAATTTTACACATGCAAAAATCAAGAGGGGGTCAGGACATCCGGACCCCCCCTCTAAATCCGCCCCTGTTCTTGACAATATGAGATAGTGCCTTACACCCTCAATCAGTTCAGCTTACTAAGTTGCTTATCCTAGAGCCAATAGAAAGAGGCTGCTCTTAAAGTTCTCTGAAATAGTAAAAAAAAATAAATAGTTTTTTTAACTTTAGTGAAGGAGGAAGACAAGCGAAGCTGTACTATGGTGGGAATGAAGTAATGGCCGGCCACAAGTCGGCAAGCCAGAGTGGAAAGCTGGAAAGGTTGCGCCATCTATGAGCAACCACAAAACCCGGCTTGCCGGTTGTCTGCTTGACGCGGTCGCTCATAGATGGCAGTAGCTGTCCAGTTTCATGTCATCACTTGTTTACTGACGGACACGATACTGGGGAAACTAGCCCTCAACAGCTTTGCTGTAGAAACATCTATTTGGAGGCAGAGATGTCTAATATTAGCAGTAATAGTTTTGCTGTGCAATTTAAAGTCTTTACACATAGATAACATTCTCATAATTTTGGTGAAGGTAATATGGTCCACAGTGATTATGCAGTGGAACTGTTTGTTACTAGAAGGGGGGTTTCGAACAAAGATGCGCACAATCTCCCTTTTATTCACTGCTTGCCTCCCAAAGTGTGATGTCGTTGAGTTAATGCTAAAAGTACTTCACATTGTTTCCAGTTGGAGTCTGGCACATTTACTTTTACAAGAAGACAGCACTCTCTATGTCCAGCCCAGAGTTGTACCACCCCAGCCGTCACCTCCTCACCAATGAGGGTCCGGACTACAATAAAGCGGAAAAATGGTACACAGGCTGCATTTAATTTTTCTTTCTCTCACAAACTTAAGCTACGATGCAGACAAAAACTGACATGTATAAACTTTGATATGATGTGAGGGTTTAAATAATCTACCGACATTTCGTTAACTTGTAAGCTGTGGGAGACTGCCTAAACAACAAAATGGTGTTGCAAGCCAGAAGTTTTTGACAAATCTACTTCGTCTCTTCGCACGTTGACTTGAGTGTCAAGACAACATCTCTTTAGTGACGGTGCAACAGCTAACCAGAAAAGATTAAACGACAACCATGATCTATGATCCTCATGGAGAGGGTGCTGCCCTCATCAAAAAGGGCCTAGACGTACATGAAAACGTGGCGGCTGCTTAATAACCTTCCACCAGTCATCGCCTTGCAGTGAAGCGTATTGGGCTGTTTCTGAACTGATGCACGCAAGAAATGGAACATTTAAGGGCACAGGGTAAGTCCTATACTCCCCATGCATTTGAGGCCATGTTGAGGAACATTTTTCTCGGTGACTATTAGGAGTATTCCTGTCATGTATATATCATTTTGTTCGAAATATTGTGTTTTATACACTGAACTAGAATTATTTGAACCAATTGAAAATAAGTTTTTTTTATATTTTTTTATTTTAGTACTGAAATTTTAGTTTATTTCATCTATTAAAAACTTTGTAACTCAAAAACTGCTAAGTGCACATTTTAAATTTTAGTTCAGTATTTTTGAACACCCATGTATGTGGTAGGAATAAAAAATCAACCCTCTATAATGTCAGGTTAAGGAAAAAATGGTACCTATGTACTAAAAAACACTATTTTGAGATAATTGAGTTTAAAGTAAAAAAACTGGTGAATAACGAATTTCTATTGGCACCAACAGCCTCAGAGTCATTTTTTCAATAGCCGCCAGCTTGAAAGGCATTGCTAAAGTCATGTCTTCGCCTTTAGGGTTATTGCCTAGCTTGCTGGGCCTCTTTTGTGACCTGCCATGTCGCTTGGTCCGTAAAGTATATTAGAGTGACGTCAACTTCCCTCAGCCACTTGATGGTTTTCCACACAGGATTCCATCCACAAAACTTCAAAACATTGGCTTCTGCAATGCTGCCACCATTGAATAAAGGAACAGCATCCAATGGCGCCATTTTGTCGTTACGAAAACACAAACGCTTGAATGCACACACGGTACACACCTGGGAAAAACGTGCACAGCGTCTCGTGATTGTCTTGGTTGAAAAAAAGCTATGCAATAGTTGCGAAATAATTTTTTTTAGATTATCTGTTACTGGACAAGCTTTTAGATCATGTGTTGATTTTGTTTTGTTGGAGAATTCATCGATAAACAGGGAGTGTATCCCAAAAGAAGGCGTGGTCACCTGCTACTTGCTTTCGGAAGAAGTGATTTTCAGCCCGAAATATAGCTTTCTAAAAACACTGGGACAATGGAAATTGTGCAGAAAGAACTAAACTTTTCAAATTGCGAAAAAAACCAAAAACGATTTTTTTTCAATTTTACCTTACCCTGTGCCCTTAAGTCTTTTAAGATCTATTCAACAGTCTGTCTGACCAGCGAAGCACAATTTGAGGAGAAATTATCCCGAAGCATCTTGCGGCGAACAGACCCCATCACAAATTCAGTGTCGTCTAGTGGATGAATTATGTCTAAATCGCTGTATGCTAATGGCGGATAAAATCTGGTACCTATTCATCAACGGTAGACATAGAAAATCTTTTATGTTTTTTGCTGAACAGTTATTTCTCTATCTGCTTGAGTTTCGATGGTGTCAGACTAACACGCCATACGAGGCGCTTATAGTTGAGTAAACCTCTTGATGAGATTAACATTTTAATGTCACAAGCTGTCTGGGGTTTGCCGAAGCCGAGCATTCCAATGCCTTACATGACACTTTGAAATGCGTAGTGCATAGGAGCTTATAAGTCTCATCACGGTGACATAGAACAACAATACAGCGAACTAACGTCCGGATGCTCAAGCTCCGCATCGGTTTCCGTCTTCAAATTCTTCCTTCTCCAGCCAGCCACCATTAGCATGTACAGATTAACACACTTAGGAGATGATAGCTATCGAAGTGGCCTGACTGAATTTTGAGAAGGGTCCATAGTGGAATACAGACATTCTTTGCAGGCCTCCATTATATCTAGCAGTGCTATAAGGATTGTGGAACATGTGCAGAGGGCAACAGCATTAACTGGCTCGACAAAGCATCATTTGAAGAAGCAAAAGACTGTGTGATGTGCCTGTGGCATGCTAAGCCATGGAAAGCAATGTTACAATTTGACGAGGATGGAACAGTGGCAGCCCAAACCAACCTCCCTTCCAAAAGCTTGATACATCCGAGGTTCCCTATCTGGCACTTTTACTGCTCCGGCCTGACCTTCATAAGAGCAGTTCATTCTGCTGCCCGCCGTAAAGTTCTACAATGCCCCATTCACCCCCCACGCTGCTGGTGCAGTGGTAGCTATGCACTCGCCGGACCAATCAACAGTTTTCCCTGCATCACCCAACCCCACTCTCTACATGTAGGTATGCGCGGGAGCGTGATCAGATGGCAGACAATAGATGCATGAAAGGCGTAACGAGTGTGTAGCTTTCATCGCACACAAAGAAAGTCACAATCAAAAACAGTTGCTTCGGTAACCACTCCCCAGGTGACTCTCAAAATGTAAGTCTGTCTGAAATGTTACAATGTTGGAGCAGTCACCTGTGGACGTTTATTTACACAACTACTAACCAGTTCAGACAAGGCCTAGTGCAGCTACCCCGCTCTGCCTACTCGTCAAGCGGCGGAATGCCCAATTCCTCGTCTGTCCACTTTGTGCCGTCCGGACGAATGTAGTGGCCCTGCGGGACAAAGAACAGGTGTCAAAACACAGAAACTTCCGCGTGGTCGAATCGCCCGAGTGTAAGAAGAAAAGTCGCCCCTTTGCCATACCGGCGTGGCAAAAGCAGCGGTAACACAGAATGCGACATGTCAGTGTGGAGAAAGTGTGCAGACAGGTAGAAACTAGATGATGAGGAGCGGCCCTGCGTCGTGCACGCTAAGTGCGTGAGCACTCTGTGGATGTATTACTTGTGGCTGCCGACTGTGCGGTAGCAATGTAAATGCAACTTTCTTGGAGCCCGTTTGAGCGCAAGACGCAGCGAACGGAGTGCGGGGAAAAGGAACATTAGACCCTTTCCCAATTGTGAAATAATGCATAGACTATGCGCATCACCATTAGTTGGTCCCGTCCCTTCCGGATAAAAGCCCACGATTGGTCCCGACTTCGTGCCGAGCACTGATGCAACACTTAGGTAGAATGCGTTTCGATCCAAGTACAGCTCGAATACTGACAAAGCACTCGTGTCTGATACGTGCTCGCAGTGCATGACCAAATAATGGCGGCCGCACATATTCTATGCATAATTTCGGAATTTTTAAAAGGGTCTATCGGAATGCGGCAGCAGTGAGCAGAGTCCCGGAGCCAGCTTGAGGCGAAAGAGAGCCAAACACTCGAAATACCTCAACCCGTTGCAGTAAAGTGAGAACAAGTCTAACGTAGCGTCTGTTTTTCCGTCGCTTCCTCTTGCACTCTTCCCCTGGTAAAACTTGAAGTGCACTCGTTTTACGGAGTAGAGTGCCGCTGCACGTCCAAACACGTGATGTTTGCTCATCTCCCCTCCTCATCGGGAGTAACATGGATGCACTCGAGGAAGTCGGAGCCGTATATGTAGAGAGTTTGGTCAATGGGAGGCGCGGGCAGAGCCAGGGCGTCCACCAGACTCGGAAAGAGGGCTTGGCATGCTCTCTTGACCAACCAGAAGCCGAAAAGAATCCCCTAGCGGTGGTGGCGAGAAACAGTTCTGATCAAAGGTCTATGTTCGTAAATGGTGTTAATAAGCACGTAAGAGTGAAGTGTAGTAACTCTTGTGGTTGAAAATAGGGTGCACGTGTTGTTTTGATCATGATCATGCAGAAAGATGCAAGAAACGAATGCGCCGCTCAACTCTGTTTTGCTCGGACAGAGTGTGACCGCTCGGACGGCAGATTCCCGGCCCTGGGCACTTGGCGTATGGATTATGTCGATTGTTCTGCTAGTCACACTCTTCCACCATCATTTTGGATGAGCGTGATTGAAACATCACGTGTACCATATTTTCAGTCATCAAGACTTACTCTAATGCAGTTATCAGGTTTGTTTCTCGCGACCATCGCCAGGGTATTATTTCCGGCTTCTGGTTAATCACATTCAAATTTCTGAAGACGCCCTGGAACACGCCCAGCTCACTTTCAGCCAATGGCACCTCCTCATTGGTCTCCTATACCTCCCAACAAATGGCCAAACTCTTTACATATACGACTCTGGAGGAAGTTTTTCGCCTAGATCCGGTGTCCAATCGGTGAGGAAACGAGCGCTGCGTCCGTGTTTGGCTGGCAGTCAACTTACTGACTTCCGTCCTTGGTTAAGGAACAGACGACTGGTAAGAGGTTAGCACACCTATGGCGTGGGCTGCATCGGTTGCCGAGTCTGAAGGTGAGACATCCACTAGAATCTTCTGGGGCTATAATTTGGCAGATTCTATTGGAGTCTTTGTATGACTCAGAGTCTTAAACACACCGACTGTTGCTTTCTACAAATGTCTCAACGGTGTCTACAGGGGGCCTATCGAGCCGGTAAGACTGTCACCAACGTTAATAGAACAACTCAGTTGGGAAACTGCCACAGAGCCTGCTCTGAAAAAGTGGGACCGAGCCATACTCGAAAACCGAACTCGCAATGCTGCCATTTTTCTCCCAGTGGCCACTTGGGGAACTGCATGGCTACTTGTATTGGTTCGGGGGTATCGCATTCGATAGTGTCCAATGTGACTCTTGTATTTTGGCTTTAATCGGCTTTTTTTTTTTCCGAAACACATACGGTGGAAGGAGTTCCAGAGATGCCAACCCCCGTGTTCTAAGCGGACGCACCGGGAGTTAGTACCAAAGTTAGGACGCCTCCAGGTCGGGACGCATTACCCGAAATCATGAATGAGACAGGGTTGTATGAAAACAATAATTGTGCCGCAAAACCTTGTAAACTAAAAATTTTAGCAAGCATCAAGCACCTGCCATTTTGTACAAATTTCCAATAAAAATTGTTACAAAAAAAGCTTTTTCCGTTTGTTTTTACGCAAAAACATGCTTTCTGAATGCTTATGGTGACCACAGTAAAGAAAAAAGATTGAGTTGCCATCTTGGCACCTCGAGCCTGAGAGAGTCACTACTCTGGGAACATTCAATGACTCTAGCAGTAGCCATATAAAGCAACTTTCATGTTTTAACTCGTCGCTAAAGGGTGGCGCTGTTATCATATTTAGCTCGGCCTCGGTGGACGCCAACGACCCAAGTGTCAAGGGCGAGTTTCTCAATTGAGTGTTTTAGTAACGTTGACTGTCACTGAAAGCCACATCTGTCCAGCTCAAACAAATTATGCACCCAGATAAGATACCTCATGCTTACAAAGTGTGACAGTGCACTATACTAAACATCTTCAGCTGCCGTGATTCCGCTGGCCTTAAAACTGCCGCAACCAGCAAGCTGGTGTCAAGGTGGCCGCAAACAACCAATTGGAGAGCTCCGTATCGTCGTTCTGAGCAGGAGCAACAAAACGTCCATACCCTCGGAGCATCCAGCGACTCTAGAATGTAGCTCTGAAGGACCGAGCGTGGGAAACACTTGCAGATGCTCAAAGAGAAATCCATTTTGTGTTGTCCTTACCACAAAAATAGATGGCAAATCGTCAGCGCCCACATGTTGCGCTAGTTGTCGAGATAATGTGCCGCTGCTTCAAAACCTACTGTTATTTTATTAAAGAATTAAAAGTGATTAACGATGGTTTTCACTGAAAAAAATAGCAGCCAACCAAGCTGCACCTACACAAACATGAAAAGTATCTGCTACCGGGAATTGGCCCACTCTTAATGTGCTAGCATTAAAAGTATGTGCACTGAGCTTCAGCATGGTTGGAGCACATGTTTATAGAGTTTGCAATGTCACCACGGGATGGCGCTAATGCCCCACTGGCAACCGAAGATTGCCGGCGACGACCCACTTCGCCAATTTCAACACCGCACAGTGGGGATGGCGGGTGTATCGCCAAGGTGCATGTTAAAGGGGTACTCCGGCGATTTCTTCATAGTCCCCGATTTGCTTGAAATTTTGCTAAACTCGCCAAACAACATCGCTAAAATAGTATCCCAAATATTAGGTCAAAATAATTTTTTTTCACAAAGTTATTGAATTTACAATTTTGGTCCTCACCGTGTTTTTCAAACTGAAAGTCTCTACTGGCAACAACGAAAAAGTGACGTCAGTGGAAGTGCAGGGGTTCACTCTTTGCACTGTAGAATTTGTTCCCAACTGATTCGAAGCACTTTCATGGTGTAAAATGAATGCTTTGGAAGCTCGCTCCAGGACCTGCGCTCAAGCACGGAACAAATGATTGGCATATTCTGTTTTTTGGACTGCTCACTCAACTGGCAAGCTTGCCTTCCACTGACATCAAGGCACTGAAAAGTGCGGGTATATTTGAATGTTGGTTTTTGCATCATTTTCATTTGCCGATTTCGCAATAACTATTATGAATTTCGCGATACAAAATAGCATACCGGAAAGGGTAAAGGCCGGGGAGTCAGAAATATAGTTAGTTGAGCTACCTCAACTAACTATATTTTCTGACTCCCCGTACGAGGGGGGGAAGGCCTCCCCCCCTCGTACATGGGCTTCGCGGCAACAGTCTGCAGATTGCTCGTTACAAAATATTAACCCGCCTTGGGCCACCCGTAAACGCCGCCTCACGGCGCCCCGCCGGGGGCAGAAGCAACACCTAGCCCCGCTGTCTCCCACTGCATCTCCGTTGCTAGGTGTCCCACCACGCCGTTGTCGGGAATGTTCGCCCCGCGGAAAAGTGCTGAGAGGCTGTATTCACCATGCTTGGTCATACACAACCCCTGCGCGAAATGCTAGTGGCGAATTCCACTGGTCGTTTTGGAGCGCGCCGAGATCAACTTTGCTGGAGCGCGCCTATTTCACTGGGCGATCGGGATCGAGACGTACGAGGTTCCATTCGTTGTTTTGTATCAGCTCCCACCCCCAGATCTCGATCCAGATCCAAGAAAAGTCATGCCGTCAATTTCGGTGGATTCGACAGGAAGCCAGCCCGGTCAGCCTTTGGCGCGCAACTTGACTTCCTTTCTTGCCGGGCATCTCGCCTCGGAAGAATGCGTAATGGCCGTTCGCAAAGTGCCGCCCGCTTTTTGGCTGCTGCTGGTTGATGAGAGTTTGTCGTCAAGTTACTCGAGCAGCTCCTTCAGCAGCAGTGGCTTGAGTAGCAGTGATGACGAGGGTTGCTTATATGCCCCGCATAAATTCGACTGGTTCTTCGGACCTCCGCAGAAGAGGCCAAAAATCGAGACGTATTTGGACACAATTCACGAGTATTCCGATGAAGAGGCAAGTGGGCTACGCTGACGGACATCGCTTATCAACACGCATCGTTCACATCACGATTAACTTTGCTCGTGCGCTGAACACGTGTTGTTAGCGCTGCTATTCACTCTTTCTCGCGCGAGTCGAAACATGGTGGTGCCAGTGTGCAAATAGCCCCCAACCACTGCCGGTCTTAAACTAGATGGCGAGTTTCGCAGTATTCGCGAAATCAAATACATACGCTATCTTCTGGAAATGGCCACTTATAGCACTGTCAGACTTAATTCGCTCTTATGGTAAAATAATGATGAGTAAAAAATTGGGAAATAAAAGCGAACTGGAAGTGTGCCGGGGCTACGCAATAGACAGTGCTAATGAGTTTGTTGCTAAGGCCCGCTTCAGACGGGGCAACTTTTCCAGCAATTTTGAGGTTGCTGGTGGGTTGTTCCCTAGCTTTCCCTAGATCGACGCAAATTGCTGAGATCGGGTCCGGCTCGAACAGGCGAGCAACTCGGAGCAATTCGAAGACGGTTGAAGCGGCTGCAGCCAATCAGAGACGCAATATTTTCATGTGACACCCCTGTGGTGGTGATGATGACAGCTAAAAACTTAGTTCTGGTTTGGAATGGATCGTTTTTGGAAATAAACAGTTTCAGAAAAAGGAGTTAGTATTTTCAACGGCGTTCAAAGATATAAGAACGCGTTTTTAGCGCGTAGCTGGGTGTCTAAATAGTGAAAGAAGAATCAAATTTAATGATGATGATGGCAAGTCGGAGTCATTCAATTGCTGCGTGTGAACGCGGGCGGCCGGTGTTGCTGGTGTTGCGACGTCAAGTTGCTGGGTGAAATTGCTCCGTCTGAAGCGGGCCTAAACAAAAAAGGACGAATTGCGAAAATGTGTGCTTCGAGATCCGAGACCGCGGGAAAGGGATTCCCGGGAAGGTGAATGACGGGAAGGCATTTGCCGATCCCGAAGGCGTGGTCATGTTTTACCGGAGATGGAGTGACTCCGTTCGGACGATCGCGGGCTCCACCTCGGATCTGGTCTACTGGTCCCGGCGTGCTCCGAAACGACCAGTGGAATTCGCCATAATGCATTTCTTCGAGAATCAGCGTAGCCGGAGCAGCGATTTCGGCCATTTTCACTACAAAATTACGAGAAATTTCTTTCGAATAAGATAATGCTAGACTCCGAAACTTTGGCACCTGATCCCAACCTCTAGCGCTATATTTTGGCAGATACTGGACTCTGGGCGATGCTTAGTTCATCTTTGTGGCGAGAAAAACACGATCCAGATTTCCCTGAGCCACGCTGCGCATCGAAGCTGCTAGGTGCGCCAGATCAGATCTTACCGTAAGATGCTGGTAGTCTGTGATCACGTGGTAGAAGACCCAAAACCACATGAACGTGAAAAGAACGTTCGCTAGTTGCTCGTCGAGCTTGTTAACCTTTGGAGGCGTCCGATAGTACCACGTTCTGCGAGCACAAAATCAATTCCTTGAGACTGAAAGTCGTTCGAAGTGAGCACCAATTATACCCTTCCAAGTGTTTTCAAAACAGACGATGCAAAGGCGTATCATACTCACCCATCATGACTGCTTCGTTTGATCGTTTGCAGCACCGGTTTTACGGTCATCCGCGTTCTAGCAACGGACCGGACCAGGGACCCGAGCATTTTAACAGAAGATTCGACTATTTGACCTCGAAAACTCGAATCGCACGCAGACCGGCCCGTACACAAATGTAGGGGCTGTCTTTCAATGCCTAAAGTCTGGATCCCCCAACTTGTTGAATAGCGCTACAAGTCAGTTGCCTATAAAACTAAAAATTAAAGCGTACGTTCACTTACTTTAACGTAAGCTATTTTAAACCTTATTTTAAATTTATTGATAAGTTGTAAAAAAATTTTTGTATAGAAATATTCGAGCTCTACTCTACTCACGCGGGACGCGGTAAACGGAGATAGTTTTTGTATAGGTTGCGAACACTGTGATTGCGAAGTTTTTGAATCCGATTCTTCGCTAGTTGTTGGTTGAATTATCTCAAAAGACTGATTGCCCTAATTATCGCACAATGTTGCGCTAATAACCGCTAACCTACCTTAGCCTAACACAAACAATGGAAGTGAGTTCGGTTGTAAAAGGATTTCTAGCGTCCTGCAACGTACCAGGGCCGTACGACGAAGCAACTAACGCTCAAATCCAACGGCAACTAGACGTAAGTTCATTTATCGTTGCCTGAATTAACAGCGGCATGTGTAGTTCTTTTACAAAGCTTTCTGCTCGCCATGATTGACGGTTTGCACCGTAGCTCTTTTAAATACTTGCTGCGTAGTTTGTAGGGTGTGAGAGGCTCAACGGCATTCCCGAAATACAGCACACTTGTTCACTGTGCGCCGTGTATCCTTGTCATTTTAATTACAGGTCTTGATTGGTGTGACGACGTCTCGTGAATTCAAGTTCTTCAACAGCAGGAACAAGCTAGCTCGGGAATGTTTGTCCTGCGCGGTATCTTTGCTGCTTGGGGCACAGCTCACCTTCCAGACGTCCGCCAAAGTGCTCAGCTTCCTGCACAACATCGGTAAGCGACGACGCTTGCGTCTGGAAAAGGAGGAATTCCGTTCTTTCCGTTAACACCGTGAACATAGTCTGTTGCAGGTGAAGAAAAAGATGCAAGCTCCCCAAATGGCTCTCTGCTCGCCATGATTGGTGCTTTCCTCCTCTCCTCTAGCCTCCTTTCCAGCGTTCGCTCTGATAAAATGGAAAGAGTGGAGGTCTTTGTGGGAGGGGCTTGTCCTGCTTTTCTCGTTGTGCGACAGATCGTAGTCCAGCTCGTCGTTAGCGCTTAGAATGTGGGCGTGTGATGCTCCGTTTTTACCCTCATGGGATAAGGCCTCTATACTTCGCCTCAGCACAGCTCCGAGCGTGGCTAAGCTACGGGTGGCCGGGGCCAATCAAATGCTGGCGATAGGACGCGACTTCGCCCGCACTTCGTACATCACTCTGCGTGGAATCTGCGCAGAGGTGCAGAGGAGTCGAAGGGGGACTTTTCGCCTGCTACGGGAGTGTTGACGGCATTGTCTGCTACATAATTAAAAATGCCATTTCACGTCCTGGAATAAAACTTTGGTTCAGTGCGGTGGCTGCTGGGCTTCGCAAAAGGCCGTCGCACTGCCGGCAGGGGAAGGCCTGGGCTGGAGCACGGAAGTAGGTAACGCTTGACGTCCAGACGGGTCGTTTTCTCTGTTGCTGTGTCATCCAGAGCCGACAAAAAAAGTGGGTTGAGCAAGCACTCTGGGTAGACTGCTGCCCTGTCTCCGATTTCGAACAAAGCAGCGCACTTTCTTCGTAAACGCATAACAGCAACAAAAGTATACCGTGTCCCTCCGGTTGCACTGGGGTATGTGTTTCCTTGGTGCTTCACCGATACTGCATGGTTTTGCCTCTGTCCGCCACCTCGACACCCGATTTCGAACCGTTTTTCTTCGGAGAGCATATCTTGCCGTCGGTGAATCAACTTTTAGTCGATTTCCCAACGTCCGTTAGCTCTGATGTTCATTGAACAGCTTCGCAGTACGACACTGTTTAAGACTCCTGACGCAGTAGACTACACATTCATCACAATCTTGCGCCTGACGCCCAAACGTGCCTTTCTTCTTATCATGCGTTGTCGGTGAAAATTAGAAAAAACAAAAAGCCAAAGGATGTCGAGCAACTTGGCGAGGAAAGCGTAAAACTTGAAACCTACGATTCGGGTGTTGATAACATGAAATCACATGAAAATACCAAAAAGAAAAAACATGCGGTAGTCGCATCAGTGTTGCTAGCAGGTAGGCATTTTTCGTCGAAACTTTACTTTGTGAAAAATGCGGAGCGTCATTTATTTTATTTATTTTTTGATAATTAATTTTTAGCAGGACACAACTGGAAAATTTTGCGATGTTTGCACACAAAGTATTTCTAAACTTTCACATTTGCGAACTACTTCATGATGCATACGAATGCTCTTTTCCAAGTGGTGAACCATCCCCCAGCCTTTGGCTGTGCTCGGAGCTAAGTTGAAACCAAGTATAGAGTTATGCACCTGTTACATGGCTTGTAGGTGCTGCCGTCACACGGTGCTGGCTGTCACTTTTACTTGCTCTTGCAAGGAGAACGCATTCATGAGGGGAAAACGTATGCCGTAGAACGTAAGTGCTCAGCAGCAAGGCCACCCCAACGCTAACTGATGTGGCATAAATGCCAACCGTATTTTCTACTGATCACAAGCTGTGGCCCTACTTTTCCGTGGTTTTTCGTTTCTTTATTGTAGCTTAGCTGCCATGCGTCGAAAATATGTTCCGACCTAAAAAAGCAGTCTGTGCTGCGATTGCTGAGTGCGACGTAAGCGCACGAAACGTCGTGCTTAATGTAACAAAGTGGACCTTTTTTTTTTTTTTGGTGCATACATATCTTTTGCCTAATCATTGGTCAAGCTCCTTTTGTTAGACTGCAGCGACTGGCTAGGTGCTTTGCAGAGAAGTAGACACACTAGATTGTTTTTTTATGTGTGCACTGGTTCCCAAACCGGGTTCCTGTGGATCCGGTGGTTTCTCTAGAGTACCCTCAGAGCTTCTCCAAGCCCTCAAGTTCCCTCGACCGTCTCCGCCCCCGTGTAAAGTGTTTTCCTCGTTTAAGCGCCACTTTAGAAGATCTGAGGCTACCCACCTATGCCTAGCTATGTTCCAATCGCTTCCCAGTAGAATGTGAATTATTATTTCGAGGCAGGGACAGAACGAGCGGGTTGGTATGGATAGTTAAACTTGAGGAAGAAAACGAGAAAGGACGGACAAACACAATGTCCTTTCCGTCCTTTCTTGTCCGTCCTTTCTCGTTTTCTTCCTCAAGTTTAATTATTTCGAGGCCCTGTGGGCTTTTGCACCATTTTATTGTACCTATGACAAGACCGGGAAGGGTTCGTCGGCCGTTGATAGAGATCGGGGTTCTTCGAGATGATTCGAGAACTCGCGGTGTAAAGCGGGAGAAGAGGACTCAATGGCATCGATTGAGATCTTTCCTTTTTTTTATACCTTTTTATCATCTAATATCCACAGAAAAAGACCCAGCGTTATTAGACTGGCTCCGCGATGACTTCCAACTCCACTCCGCGGTGGCCGTCTTCCTTCAGTCGTCTCTGGTTGAGGAGAATCCGTCTCTCCTTGCGCAGGTATGTCTGAAAAATTGTCAGTTTACCGTCGTTGCCCATTACCCAACGACATCTTATTGTATTTATGATGCTATTGACACTGCAACTGCACGGACTGGCAGTTTGGCAACAACCCCGCACTACTGTCGAGTGCACCCTGCTTCTTTTTGTTAGTGATAAATGTTTGAATTTGAATAAAAGTAAGTGTTTTGTGTGTATATTTAGACAGCAGGAAATTAGTCGGCACCAGTGGGTGTCTGGTGTGCTACCATAGATGAAAAATTCAGCCAGTGTGGTACCACTCTTAGCCTGGGGCCTTTAATGTGCCACACACAGTAGTGATGCACGACCGCATGCCAGTATGAAGCTCATCCAGACCAAGATCGGCACGGAAGGGGTTGAACCCATGATCCTTGTGTTCTGCATGAATTCAAATGGGATTTGTACCAGCTGCATTCATTGCCTTTTTAGATGTTTGGCCTAACTACCAGTATGAATAAATGAAGAGATCTTATTTTTAAATCAGAGTGTTGGCGGCCATCGCGTTGACGAAAAATATAGAGCAGCGCAGATTTTTGTTTTTTCAATTGCATTTTATAATGCTTTGGTCATTCCTTGGACATTCTACTTCGCAGGTATTGCAGGTTTTCGGCCGAGTCGAATATGTCTGCTAACGCCAACCTCCGAGCCTGTAATGTAACAATGAGTAAATGGATGTTCCGTGAACTATGCCGTCTCATAAAAACGATTGAGTACTTCGAACCAGCTCTTCGAGACTACCGTAATTGTTTTCGTGTGATTTGTTGGGCATAAGAACGATGATATAAGAAACACCGTGAGAGTGGCGTCTCACCGTGGCCACCATCTTTATCTACTATGACAGGCTGTGCACCTCCTGAAGGCTCTGTGCTACCGGAGGAAGGTGACCTTCACCGAATCAAGCCTCTGTCACCTGCTCACATTTCTGTTGAAGCACATGTAAGTTTGTTCTTGTAACCAACCTCTCAAATGTCTCTGATAATAATATTCACAAGGGCTCTTTGTTGTAACACTGGCGTGCACCCTTAGCCCCCTGTTATTCCAGGCTTACAAACATGTCAAAATATGCTTTATTCTCTGAAGCTTGACTTATTGAAGGTGCACGAAAGTCGTTGCTTTTTGCTTCAGGGCACGTCGAACATCGTTAGCAAGAAACATGGTTTATATTATTATCCGATTTCCAGTTTTGCACGTGGCACTATTGCATGCATGCCGTGACACTGCAGTATACCTGTAGTCATAACTAAGCCTTTTGGTGGAGCTGTGTACTTTGCTAGTGTTGTAATCATATTTGTAATCATTTTTAATCATATATTGTCTCTGAGGGCTGCAACAAGTTTAGAGCATGCTTTTAAGCATACTTCATTGTTTCTGAGGGACATTGTGGTGTAAATCAGTGGTGTTCTTGCATGTCTTCTCATCCCATCCTTCACTTTTTTTTCTCAGAGAACCCTCCACGGATGAACTCCTAATTCCGTGCTTGGAGCTGCTCAACTTCATCTCTTGGAGCGAGCAGGTTCAGCAGTATGCTCAGACAATGGTTTGTCTTTTCATTGTGGCTTCAATAACACTTCTAATATCGAATAATAATGCAGAATGATTGGAATACTACTAGCCATTCAACTAAGAGTGGTATCATGGCTGCCGGATTCGCTTGCAGAGGGTGGAGGGATCGGCATCAGTCCTGCTCTTTGCCCGCTTAGTTTTGGTTTGAAGTTGAGTACAAGGGTGACATTGCTCACGCCATAGTGCCCACTACAAAATTTTAAATAAAAACTTCATGGAACAGCTACACTCTATTAAGATAGTGCGTCAATCCTCCAACTACATTATGCCCCCAAGAATGAAAATTTAAAAAGTGGGGTGAAACTTTCAGTTAATTAGCTCATTAATTAACATCCCTTTTTTCACCTCTTTTCTAACGACCACCTTGGCCACCAACTTGTCCCCACGGCTAAAATAACCATAATGCAAGTTCCCTTTTTTTCTAAACAAAAACTTTTGACCAACTTAAGAAATATTTTGTATAACAAGAACATGTGGGTCTGGGGGGTTAGCAAACGCCACCATGCATATTCTTTAGTGTCATAATATCAGATTCAACTAGGGCATGTTGGTTTGGCCTTCGGTTTCTTGAAGTGCGGTTATACTTTGTCCCTTGATTAATGATTCTTTATGGCATTCACTGCAATCCTTCTGCCTCTTTTCTTTTGCAGCCCATGCTTTTGGATCTATTCAAGGCACTGATACCAAAGTACAACTCGGATAACACGTCCATGGTGATTCATGCGCTCTCCATCTACGCAAACTTCTCCTTCGATCGGCTGGTAGAAGACAAGGTTGGTGCCATCCTTAGTTGCCTTCTAAGGCTGTCAACAAATTGTAGAGTGGAGAACAGTGTCTTCATAAATGGAGGAGTCATGAATGAAAAGACCATGTTCACTGAAGTGGAGTTTTAGAGCTAAACATTGTTGTGCATTGCTTCAGAAGGTTTGGAACAGGGCAGTATTGAATTGAGACGCTTCAGGTTTTATCCCTTATATGAATGTTTTGTCTACCTTCAAGCAGAAAACGTTTTAGGTTGCACAACATGTATCACATATGAGACCATTCCTTGGGCCACCAGACTGAGATTGCATGCGTCTGTCTGTCGCGGCTCGATAGTTAAATTTGGCGGTAAAACTCAACTGGTGTACAATTGTACACACAAGTTAAACTTTTTCTCTCATTTGAGTTTTTTCCCATTAGATATAGCCATGAAAAGCTGAGTTTTTTTTATAATTCTATGCCCATTCAATTTCAGAAGCATTGGTGCAAAAATGGCACGGCACCAAGACTGACAGAGTGCCGAGCTTGACAGACGTCTGAAGAAGCGCGAAGGATCTCAGATGCCATCACATTACCTTTCCTTTGGCAGCTTTTAAAGAGAATGCCATAGCTCTCTAAAGATGCTATCTCAGGATGACTGTTCTTACTTTGCTGATAAAGCTTTTAAGTTTTGTGTGACATCTTTCAACCGGGCTGTACAAACTCTTGTTCATTTCACATAATCGGTGCGCGCATCTACTGCCAATCGTTTTCGGCGTGCTTTAGTTGTTCCTTCCAAACGTATTATACAGGATACGACCCTGCGTGGCAGGGCAGTTTGACTGTAGCTCTTACCAGACTGCAAACGTAGCAGGAGGCATGCATGTGTGATTGTCCCCGATGTGTTACACAACCCCTGTAATGCAAGAAGCAGAAAACCTACCTTATCTTTTTTTTCTCTGGCAAACGGCTGTTTGGCATTTGTTTTATGGCATCTAAGTTTCCCATGTTTTATGCAAAAATTGCGATGTCCCACAGCTACTTTCATTAAACACTCGATTAACACTGTCTCCTTTTCAGCGATTTCAGATCTTCAGCCATGACATTAAGCAGACCTTGACTGTGATCCTGTCGGCTGCACTGTCCCAAGTGTACGAGGTCAGCAACGCAGCTGTGGACCTGCTGGAGGACCTGCTCAAATCTCCTCAGAGGAAGCACAATGTACTGAGGTGAGCCATAAGCACACATTTCTAGCTATGCGTTTTCGTTCACTGTGTTTCTTATTTCAGTCGTGAAGTTATCATTTGATCGTGAAACCTGGTTGCGACTCGTCCTTGAGCTTGCTTGGACGGTTCTGGGTGTGTCTTTGGATGTGCCTCCGTATTTCTGAGTCACACTAAAGAGTGATGTTATAAATGACCATGCTTGGTGATTCACATTGCTCTGAACTTGCAGATCTACTTGAGATGTTCTGCTTCTTTTTGTAAAAGTTATCTTGGTGCATTTTTGCCACCAGTTCTTGGGCGTCTTGCATGAACCCTCTTCTAAAGGGATTCCTTGTGCAGAAAAATGCGCTCCTTATGTAGACCTAGTACAATCTCCCTTCGTGGTGGTTGAGATCGCAAAAGAGAGCACTGCAGGAATGTGTCGGTGCATTGAAGCATGAGTTACTTCCCAACTGGTTTGGATACTCTGCAGCTGGCTTGGCTTGGTATCTGAAGGTGCCTAAAGCGCACTGACATTTCTTTTGGCAGATGCCATCGACTGTTGATGTCCTGTGCCTCGAAAATTGTGGAAAAGCAATCTCACATGGACTCTCTAGGACTTAAAACGGCAAGTGTCTGAGTCTGTTATCAAATTTAAGTTCTTGTATGACTTCTAGAAGTCACAGAAGGTGCTAGGTTACTTCTTTGGCTTCATTTTATTTTAGCTGCTTTCCAGGAATAACACCTTTGCAGGTTAGTTGCTTCAAAGTTTCTTTTAAAAACCTCACCTCTTATTTTGATTTCTAGGTCTTCTCGCTCGCACTATAGTAACTGCTATTACCAGTTATATGACTTTAACAGTTTTATTCTGCAGAATTGCCCGGTGCCATCAAAGTGTTGACCTCGACCTCAGAAGGTTGTCTAAGAACGATCCTCACAGATTATCGTTGTATATTCAGGGTGTCTATACTCCGTTTCAACTTCAGTCCGAGCGCAGCGGACGCTAGGGGCCATCCCAGCCAATCCAGCATGGAGAGAGTGTCATGTGACCTTGAGCTCCCTGCGTCGCTCTGCCCAAACGTCAGGTCACGCGATTTTCTCCTGACGCTAGATCGGCTGGGATAGCTCGTGGCGTCCACTGCGCTTTGACTGAAGGTGGAACGGAGTATAGCGACCGGAAAATATTAATTACCGGGAAAAATCGGGGAATTGTCAGGGATATTGTCAAAAAGCGAGCCCAGTCAGGAAAAATGAGCCGGAAACGCCATCAGCTTAGGGGTGAGGGAATAAGCGAGGTCCGGTTTCGTGTGACTTGCGTTTGGACCTGATGACGTGATTTTGGGACCGCGGATTTATCACAGTGAAAAGGCAGAGAGCTTACGAAGGGGAGGAGGTACAAAATAGTCCGCTGTGTTTTCAAATTTTCGCACTGAAAGTCAGGCTTTTGACTTTCTACCTTCTTTTCTTTTGGCTCACTGAACGATGTGCTATCAGTAAAATCCCAACAATCTAAAAGGATTTATCCCAACCCAAAATTTGTTTCATGGGCCCTTTAAACCTATAGATGACCAGCTATACCTAATTGAGTGGATTTATAAATCTTGCTATGTGCAAATATTTTTTCTTCAGTCTCGAATTTGGGTGGATGAAATGAGACGTTTACAAATCCCTGTAGTGCCGAATTGGAGTGCACGTCTTGACAAGGAGGGGAGGGTATGGAAGGAGAATATGCCCCTCCTCCTCCTGCTCCCCTCCCATTTAACAAAAATTTTCTCTAAATTTAGCAGGGGATTTTTTTCCACTACATTTAGCGGGGAAACATTTCCTCTAAATTTAGTGGAGAATTTTTTCCGCTAAATTTAGAGGGGAATGTTTTCTGCTAAATTTAGAGATACATTTTACCGCTGAATTTAGCGGGGAAATTTTCTTGCCATATTTAGCGCTGAAATGTTACTGTAAATTTAGCGGGGAGATGTTACCGCGAAATTTCATTTAAATTTAGCGGAGAAGTTTAGGGATAATTTTCTCACTAAATTTAGCGATAATTTTCTCACTAAATTTAGCGGGGAAATTTTCTCATAATGCAACTCGTGGTTACACCCACTTGCATTATTCTCATAATGCAACGTGCACGGTTTTGCCGACGGCGACACCACTCAAGCCAGAAACGGGGGCCTCAGAGCTGCGCTCTAAAGAAAGAAACACAAATGATGAATGCACTCTGTCAGAGCATCTCTGCCTAACGTATGTTCTTGCGTTACAGCCAGTTTAATTTAGAAAATTTTACTGCAATGTAGATATCTAGTGATGGGCGAATATTCGGTTATTACGAATGGCCCATAGAATTCTGTTCTATTTGGCATTCACTTCGAATCGAATTTAAGTTTTTGACAATATTGAATTATTTGACAATGTCAAATTATTCAACCTTTCCGAATACTCTGGCTTAAATTTCCGACCAGGTGGCGCAAGCTTCCAACCATTTCGTGCTCTCGAACTCAGTACGATTGACATTTACAATTACAGTACTTCTAATACCAAATAAGGGCAAACATAAAACTATAGTTCAAACATACCTTGCAGTATTTGTTGCTTGTACTATTCAAACTATTTGATTTGAAATTATTCAACCAAAATCCTGGATGTAGAAACCAACTGGCAGGAATGGCTCTTTATTGAGTCATGGCACATACAGACCACACCAGGAAATATTAATCTATCCTCCAACACCTTGCCCTCAGCATACGTCAGTGGACTACTTACTACACTTAGAGGAGACACCAAAGAAACAGACCCCTACCATAGAGGAAAACGAAGATGCTGATCCTCGTTTGTAAATAACCAACTTTGAAGAAAACAAAGGTACCGCACCTGGTTTGAAAACTAACCACCAAAAAAAACGAAGATTCTGCCCTACATTCACCGCAGAAGAAAAGAAAGAAGCTGCTTCTCTTTTAAATAGTCCCCCTGAAGAAGGTGCCGAGCCGGCACCGAAACGTTGGGACCCTACGATCTTTAGGGATTGGCTGGCGTTTGCCCTTTATTTATTTATAACATTTAACCCAACCAGGCAGAAGTCTGCCGAAATGTTCACCTTCAAGACTATTCGCTTCGAATTCGATTCGGACCCGAACTCCTCTATTCACCCATGCCTATATATATCAACATTCACAAAGTTTCTGTTTCTTTTTAAATACACCAGGCATGCACATGCACTATCCTGTTTTGAAAGTGTGCCTTTCTCTGAAGCACGCAATTGCGATATTCATACTTTTCCAAGTGCAGTGATGTGATTGCTGCGCCGAGGCGCGAACCCTGCTACATCCTGCTACATTTTGCCAAAATATGGGTAATCTGTGCCAAGCCTGCGCCAAAAGACCGATTTTGGTTGTCTTTCAAAACCGAAACTAAACTGAGTACTGTAATTGAGCATGCATGAGTTAGGCACCGCAAGCGGCCGCCCAACAAAAAGTACCCTGCATCAATCGTCCATCCGGACTTGTATAGTTTTTCCCGCCACCTCTCGTTTCACGCTCTCGTCATTCATTTGTCTCATCTTGCGTCTTTTTAAAAACAATTTCAACTATAGACGCGGGCGTGTGTTGACGCTTCAGTGCTTCAGTCGTTGTAGAAAGCACTCCAAGTACATTTTTGACCCTGACTCGCAATGTCTTGTTTTAACCTGACTGGCTCAGGTTCTTTTTTTCTGTGTGTTTAGCTTGTACCTCGCCTGCTGGCCTGGCAAGCACTTGCCGCTGGACTGTTTTTTGTCGTATGCTGGAAAATTACATTTTGCATACAATTTTGGGAACCAGTTGGCGACGAAGCGGAGTGGCATGGTGTCTGTTTCGATCGAACAGCCATCTCTGCTCGCGCGATGAAGCACGTGCAAATACAAGCCTGCCGAAGTTGCCCTCATGTACATGCGAACATGACTGCACGACAGAGGCACCAGCCGGGACGCTTGCAACCCGTTGTTTTTTGTTTGCTTACTTTTGATGAAAATCTGGGCTGTCGGGAACCAGTAAAACAGTGGCAAGTGGTTTTTCGGAATTGCTTGGCAACGGCCACAGCACTGTTCACTTGTGGGATGTCTCAATGTCTCTTTGGAGACATTGAAAGTGGGAATTAATTACTAGCCAAAGGCAAAGAGAGGCTTGCAGCAGCCTTGTAGAAAGTTCCGAAAAGCAAAAAGAAAAGCATCCGCTAGTCTTAATTAATGTACCTTTGTCTTGTGTACAATTTCGCATTGCAGTGCAGTAGTTACGTGTTTCATCAGTCAGAGACAGCTTATATTTATTATATAACTACGGTAGTCAACCTAATGCTGTGATATTTACTCAATAGAGTAAAGCTATATGCACTCCGGAGTGCACTTCGGACGGAAATAGCTATACGCACTCCGCTAAACTCGTATAAAACAAATGGTCACTACGAGTTTTCTGAGCGATGGCATAGCATAGCAAAGGTGCCAGGCCTCTTCTCCTCTTCCTCGAGTATGATGTGGAGTGTGCCCAAGTGTCCACTCATGTTACGTGTAACTGCAATATGTAAATAAACTTTTTTTGTTGGGGCAAAAAAAATGGCATAGCATAGGGGTTAAGGTGTCCGCTTTATACGCAAGTGGACGCAAGTTCGATCCACGGTGGGCCTACTTTTTTCTTTCTTTTTTTCTCGAACATTTTGTTTTGTCGAGGCATTTGGCGCTATTTACGACATTTCTTTTTTGCGATGAAAACTAAAAAAACTAATATTGTTGACGAAACTTCGCAGAACTAAATGGTATGGGACTCCCTTTCCGAAGGTGCAATCGGGGACGGCGGGGCTTAGGTTATCGGCTGAACGCCGCGAAGCGGCGTGTACTGGTTAAGTTTTGTAATTAGCAGCCGAATACTGTCGCCGCGAAGCGGTGTGAACGCAGGCAGGGGGCTGTATTAACGAGCACCCCAGTGATACACGCGCCGTTCGGAAACGGTGACCCACATGGCATGAGCTCTCCGCGGAGTGCGTATAGCCATTTCTGTCCGAAGTGCACTCCGGAGTGCGTATAGCTTTACTCTTACTAATAACCTGGTCATTTTCAAATAAATTTTAATATGTGCAGTTTGGTTATTTATCTATATCTGTACATATATATGTATAATTTAACTGAAGCATTGCAAAATGTGTCATGTCATGGGCATTTCAGTTACATGTTGAAAGACTCCCAGATGGTCGAACTTGACCATAATTTGTTTATTGCGGCGAGCGAAGTGTCCTTCGTTCGTCCAGCATTTAAAACAAATATTTTTTTTCTAAGAATATTTGCTCCAAAAACCACTTTTGCTGCTCCGAAACACTGTTTTGGCTGCTCCAAAAGCAACTTTTGTTGCTCCAAAGCACTGTTTTACCTGCTCCAAAGGCCACTTTTGCTGCTCCAAAGCACCGTTTGGGCTGCTCCAAAAGGTGCTCCAAAACTGCTTAGGCCAATCACATCACTGCAAGTGTTTTAAATGGCAGGGATCAGTAGCCGAGTGGGCTAGCGAACATCAGCTCGGAGCGTGTGGAGCGAAAGCTTGCGCTGCAGAATCCAGGGATCGTGGGTTCAATCTCCACCCCTGCCCGTATCGATCTAGATGAGCATTGTCCCAAGTAGCACACTTCCTCGGCCCAGGCTTGGGCCAGATTATCGCGAGCTAGAACCAGCGTGGCTCAAGCCTGGCCCAAGCTTGCGCCAAACTGGCCAACGTATGAGCCGGGGAAGAGTGCTGCTCGGGGTACCAGTGTGCGGTGATGTGTCACTACTGCGTAGTGCATGTTAAAGACCCCAGGCTAGTGGTTGTACTACATTGGCTAAATTTCTCATCTACAGCTGGGAGACAAGTTGCCCTGAGGCAGACTAAGCTCTAGGCTGTATAAACATACACACACCCCAATTTTTTCCAAGTGTTGAACGGCCCAGATTATCCTGTCAAGTGCACTTCTTATCAAGCTCTGGTGCACTGCAGAGAAGCAACACCCGCAGAGCAAGCTTCTGCGGGTGTTGCCCTTCCGGAGTGCAGTTGTGTTTGGTAAGAAGTGCGCTTAACAGGGCTAACGCGCTGCAATCAACACTTATAAAATTATAAATATCACAGTTCATCTGAAAGCAAATATCGAATAGTCTATTATTCGAAATCACTGTTAAAAATTTTGGGTATTTGCGCAACACTAATAGTTGGATTATGATTAACTTTGCTTAGAAATAGACAGGTGGAAGCTTGGGAACAACCTTCATGAGTTCAGCTGCCTTTTCATTTCATCATGCTGCAGTAGTAAAGGGCTTGAAGAAACTATTAAATATTTGATTAGCAAATATTCGGCCACAACCGTTATGTGCTGCGAATTTGCTTCAAACTCAAAATTCTTTATTTGCAGATGACTATGAAGGATCCGTTTGACGAGGCAGTTATGGGTGGCTTTACTGGATTGGTTTTGGCCGAGCCCAGATTGCTTGTGATCAGCAATTCATTGAACGCTTGTTCTATTCTCCTTCTAAAAATAAGAGTACCTCTGGCCAACGTGTGCTTAGCACCGTTGCATCAACTGCGAAGGCCAATGGATCTTTCATACTGTGGGAGACCTTTGCTAGCTTTATATAGGGTGGTCCAAGTCACCAGGCTCAATCCAAAATGGACTGTAAAAATAGAAGCCTGCACGTAGCCATTTAAGCTTTTCGTCAAAGGTGTATTTCACAGGTCGGTTTTTTTCTTGTAAAATTACAAAGCAGAGTTCTTTTTTTAGTAAAAAGTAGGGCCAAGAAACTTGCCAGGGTCTATGGCAGGCAGCGACCCAGACAGCCAAGTCCAGTAGCGGGGTGTGTTTGGCGTTCGTATTGATAGATGGCGTCGGGAACAGCGTGTGAAGGTGCAGTTGACCAGTGAAAGAAAGCAGATGACACGCACACGAAATCCGTTGGCAGCAAAAGCACCTGATGTTATGCAGACACGTTTTTCTTTGCTTTAAGTTTTGTTTTTATTGTCTACATTTATTTTTTAACCGAAGTTACATTTCAAAAAGATTATGTTAATTTTAATAAACCACGGTGATCGCGAGCCGACGCGATAAGGAGGTAGCGCCATCTATCTGTACAAGTGCCAAACACACCCCGCTACTGGACCCCTGTCGTCTGCTTTGCTGCCCGCCGTAGACCCTGGAAAGTTTCTTGGCCTTATTTTTTTACAGAAAGATAACTACGCTTTGTAATTTTAGAAGAAGAAACCGACCTGTGAAATACATTTTTGGACGAATAGTTCAGATTGCTACGTGCAGACGTCGATTTTTATGGTTGATTTTAGATCGAGCCTGGTGACTTAGATTACCCTATATTTTGTAATATAAATTAAAATGACTGGATATCTTAATTACATGAGATTTGGTATCCGCTCGATTGTTCTTGAACTCTTGTAACCCTTCCCAAGACCCTGCGGCTCCTGACGGCTCTGGCTTCCGAGGCGACGCTACTAGAGCAGCTGTCGTCTAGGCTACCAAACGGATATGGAGCCCTGTCACCAATCCTACGGATGGCCATTGACCATGAGGGCAACTCGCTCCAGAGAGCTCACTTCGCGGTCACTCTATTCAGCCTGCTGCTCAAGGTGTGGAATTCTTTATGACTGTCAGACGTCATCCTTGGGTTGCATATTTCCTTTTAATAAAGTTTTTGTGCCAAGCTTTAACAATTTACACCTTTGCTACTACCTCATTGTTGTGTTGTCAACCATGTATTTTTTTTATTGTGTCATTGATTTATTGGGTCACATAAATTTGTGATTAGTACATCATGTGCATTGTGATGTTTTGCAATGGGGCTAATGGGTAGACAGTGGAAGAATATTTAAAAATTTCAGCGGGTGTGATTACCTGAGTGAAGGGATGGCAATAACCATGTTTTTCCCATTGAGGGGGCTCAGTTTTTTTTTGCTTAAAAACATGGGCTTAGGGGAGCATCTGCTCACACGAAAACATTTTTTTTTCAATACTTGACCTATATATATATGTGCAGGGTGTCCCCCACAAAAACTTTAGTTTTTTTTTTACTGCGAAAAGAAACTTTGCATTGCCTAACGCTCGTTCTCTGTGCAAATGTAGCGCTGGCGGGACAAACCAGATGCCAAAGTTTTAGAATTAATCGTTATCTTATTAAAATGTTATAGGTGATTTTTTTTAAAGTTTAAATGGGGAAATGGTGGCCGGCAGGGCTATCAGATACGCGAAGCTGAACACGAGTCCCACTCACCGTCTATTTTCACTAATTAAAAAGTTAATTAACATATTTGACTTAAGTAGCCGACTGATCGTAACGATTAGCCTTCTTTACTATGTCCTCCTGGCCGTAAAACTCACCTGCACAAGCCACATAAGTGTAGCTTTCACAACTTTTTTTTTTAAACAAATCTATTAACCTTTAACAAAAAACACCCTGTATAGTTACTATGTAGAAAATTGCCTCGTACGCATCTGTGCGAACAAAATGTATCGGCAAGCTGAGTCACAGAAAAAGCTAAAAACCCTACTCTATTGACGATAACATTTTTATACTGTTTAGTCTAATAAACTGTCACGAATAATCTTTTTTTCTTTTTCCACTCGCCTGGTGTCGATTTTTCGAGCAAGTTCCCATGTAAGCGGGCATTTGGCTATATTCGAGCTAAATGACAGGACGGTAGAAACGGTCCTCTAAGATTGGGTGGCTGTTCACTTTATTTTTAGAGGGAGAATAGAACAAGGGTTAATTTATTTCCTCGCTCTAAGCAGTGTGCACCTGGCCAAGGCATATCCTGCGTAGATGCCTGAAACTGCATCATCGAACAGGTCTTTTTTACAGTTGGAGACTACTATAGTGATCGGCGGATTGATTGGCACCTTGTCTTTCCTCTCAGGACATGTGTGGGAAGAACATGCTGGTCGCTCAAAACGAGATGATTGTGGCAGTCGTCAAAAGGATTGCGGGAACGTTGGCCGCTTTCCAAGAGAAGCCACTTGCTGAAGTGCACTGCGCTCCAGAAATGCACCTTGTGTCTCTGGATCTCTTCACTAGTGAGTGCTGTTGGACGTGTCAGTGGTGACGGTATCTATGGTGTCGAAAGTCACCATTCAAACGATTGAACAGGGTTCAAGTCTGGTGGTGGTTTCTTCTCGTCTTTTGTATGTACCGTATTTTCCAAACTACAGTCCAGACCTGGTCTGTAGTCTGCAAAGGTAAATTTCAGTCGAAATAAAATAGTTTGGCCTTAGTAACACTGAATGCCAAAAACTGCACATTTTTATTGACTCATCACGTTTTGCACCATTAAATATGTATTTAAATTTTGCAAACACATCTTTCTCGCGAAGTTACCACCACCTGAATATTTCGCCTTATCAGCCGCATACCAAAACAGTTTTTTTTTTCCGTACCATCGAAAGTTAGAATTTACCACCCGGTTATGTCCTAATACTACCAGCACAAAGTTTCGTCTGCCATTGATGACTATTGATCATGTTTTGCACCTATTACTTTTTTTTATTCTTGTACTTTATTGTTTTATCTCGTGTTAAGTTTTGTACAATTCTTTTTCCTGCGGTTGCCCCAACAGGGTGGTATTCGAGAAAAAGAAAATATATGGGGAAGAGAAAATGTAATTAGTAACCAATACATAAGATGAAATGGTTTTCAGACGGCCTAAGTGATGTCTAGAACAAAAAGTGTGGTTGTGCAGTAAATATAAAACGCAGGTTAGGTTGGGCATTTACATGTTACTGCATGGATATCCACTCTACATTTAGTATTTGTTTCTTTGTGCATTGTAACACGAAGCAAAAAGCTTTTTTTCTCGTTCGTTGTAAGGAACACAACCTTTTTCATCGCAGCGCTTCTTGGTTCCGAGATTTACGGAGAGAGCATCGTGAAACAGTGCATCACGGCTGATCACGTTACAGCACTCCTGAAGCCGTACCTCCTCCAAAACCCTCAAGAAGCGACGGCAGCTCAGGCGTAAGTGTATTTTCTTCAAGATGCCTCTGTGATGTGTCGTAAAATAATGACCCATGTCCAAGGTTCTAAGTTGCAGAATAAATCAGAGAAACATAGGAAAAAGCATTCCCCTTGAATGCTGAAGGAAGTCACGAATGCTGGCAGTGTTGTCGGTAGAAGGGCCTGAAGATTTGCCGTTCCTATTTTAGGACTGAAAATGAGTCATCCTCACCTAATCAAGGTCTTGCAAATTTTTCATATGGCAATGTCTAAATATAAATTCAGCAAAATTGTTTTAAATTTGAACCATGCAGCCCAAAGTGAGGCCAGTACCAAAGCTATTAAAGTTTTTTTTTGTGGAAACTAGTTTTTTAAGGTAAATAAATTGGGCATTTGGAATGAAAACAGAGGAAATATGTACTATGCATAAACTGAATGGGAGTCACATGTTTACCTTTTTTTTTTATATCTATACTATGTGTGAACACAAGCTCGGAATTGAGACTTACTCACATTGGTGGCACATAAGAGCCACAGAGTGTCTCCAGTGCATCTTAATAAGAGCAGAAAGTCTATTTCTACTGTTTAGTCGAAACACATCTTCCAAATCAAAATAAAAGAAAATGTTTTGATGTCGCTACTATTCACCTCGAAGGTTGATTCCAATTGGGCATTACTGTCGAGACCGGTTGTAACGAAATAGCGGCTACAGCGAAGCAATCACAATTTCCCATTCCTTTTGGCACTTTTTCAATGCATTTGTGTTTGTTTTTAGCGAAGGAAATTGAGCGGGTTTCGTGGATATAGCGAAGAGAAATTTTGTGATCATTTAAAAAAAAGAATAAAATTTGGAAAATTTATTAAGTCTCGGATCGCTGCACTTCGCTGCTGCGGCCAAGAAGCCACCCAGAATACGCTGCAGAAGATGCTGGAAAGGCCTCCGGCAGCAGTCTCTGCGATGTCGTCTGCTCCCCGCTCCTTATCTGGGAAGCGGCGTTTCCGCATCGCATGCGGAGAGGCCGTCCTGGCATGTCGATAGGTGCATTCGGAGCGCTAGTGACAACTTTCTGGTGGAGATGAGGAGAGAGCCTAGATTTAAGAAAGGGAGCGGTAAGTACGCCTTCACTTGATTGTCGCGTGGCAACTGGGCAGAGAGCTGGACACGTTTGCAGAAGGCGAGTGCTTTTGAGTTTTGACTCCCTGCCTGCTGCAGCTCGTTTTGCAAACTCTGCTCACAAACCACATGATCCCGATTGAGCAGTTGCCCCATCTCTTAAATCTAGGCGTTCTATACCGACGACAGACAAGCTTGAGCGCAAACTCTGTGTCGTGCGCGCTTCTTTGTTCTTGCTATACTGACGACAGACAAGCTTGAGCACGAACTCCGTGCCGGTGCGCGCTTCTTTGTTTGCTTCGTGATCTGTCTCGGCGTCTGGTCGGTGAGGCCGCTCTTGCACGAAAGTCTACTTTGCTCAAGCATTGATTCCGCGAATCATCGCCACTCAACGATGGAGAGTCTCGGCACTACCAGCACTTCGACGGTGAAGACAAAAGCAATCTCCTTGAATGAAAAGCGTGCCATCCTCGACGGAGTGCGCATAAACGTAATGGGCGTCCTCCACAGCTGTTGACACAGTCAAGGGTGGAAGCGCTGTGCCAATTCAGCCATTGTGCGCCAATCCACTTTTGCTGCGCCATCCTGCTCCCAAACGCACATGTTGCGCCAAAACTAGCCAAACAAGTTTTTTTTAAGGCTATATTTATTGGAGTTTTTTTTATTGGTTACAGTGGTTTACCGTGTTGTGTTTGTTTAGATAATTCTGATTAAAAAAAAAATATAGGGACTTTAGCAAACCTTTGCTGCGTACCGCGCACTACTGGAGCCTTTGAAGCATGCTTTTAAGCGTGCGCCTGAGTGATACCGTGACCGCGGGGCGCGCGCTTAAAAGCATGCTTCAAAGGCTCCAGTTGTGCACGGTATGCGGTAATGTCTTAAAGGTTTTAAAGGCCCTATTTCTGTGAAACCACCATACCGATGTGGTCGTGTCAACGGCGTGTAAGCCTGATCTTCGAAAATGGCACATGCACAGGTCTCTTTGTCAGAGTACTCATCAGAACTCTGACAAACGACGAAACGATGCTTCGATGTACCGTTTCGTCATTCACTTAATCTTTTTTTTTTTTTTTTTTCATACAGTGGCACTGAGCATGATCGAGTGTATTTGAAATACGACACAAACGCATTAAGTCGCCGTAAAGTCTCTTACAAGCGCTCGCCCCCCAAAAATCACACTTCCTTTTTTTTAAAATTTTATCAATTGAGTGATTTGCGGTGTCGGTACGCAACAAGCGTGCTTGCCGCGGGTTCCCTCATGCTTATCGCACCATGACACGTGAATCTGCAGCATCCATACTATATGGGGTATCCCTTACTCTGGTGAGGGAAAAGTTAAGAAACTTTGAAGTTGAAGAGTTTCCGTTTCACGTAGCTTGTAGTGCCCACCCCCCCGACACACGCGCCTGCGCGTGCACAAACGCACGCACACATGCACACTCACATGCATGCACACACACACACACAATTTACTTTTTCATTTTGGGTGGGCACTCTTTCAGGACCTTATGGTATAGAAATGTACGTAAGAGCTTGCTGGCATTTGTTCACCTATCATCTAATTTCTGGAGAAACGATAACTGTTCTATAAAAATAAACACTTGGCGTAATATATATTTACTTTTTGCATGTTTCGGGTGCTTTTGCTGAGACTGCTTCCGCGTTCCTCATTCGTGTAGTAAACGTAACATATAAAAGCGATCATTGGTTGCCTCAATCGTGTAGAGTTTCTTGTAAATGACGTACATGGCGAATACACTCGCTGGCACTCAAACAGCAAGCCGGCGAGAGGACGAGGAGAACAGTGGGAATGTCCTGCTGAGCAAAGCAAATTCTAAACCGTTGTGCTGGAACGCATCCAAGCAATGCGGAGGGCAAGTCGTCTGCTTGTTGCACAGGAGATGCGGTGACTTCAGAACGATGCCAAGCTCCGATTGGTTTTGATTGAAATGATGGTGGGTAGACCTCAATGCTAGGTGCCTTGAGATACACCCACTACTTTTTTAATCAGCCAATAAGAGCTCGGCGTTCTGACGTCACGCAACCCCTGTGCAAGAAGCAGACGACTTGCGCTCCGCATTGACTTAAGGAAAGCCTTCTGTTTTATGGTCTTACTTGCTAGTTTTGTCAGTCATTTTTTTTTATTAAACTCCTAATCAAGCTGTCTTGTTTCTATTTAGTCAGTGATGCCTCTTTCTGTAAGGGTATGTATGAGCAGGAATGAAATAGGTGATATCCTGAAGTTTTCAATATTTTGCATTTGTACTTTTATCATATATAGTAGATTTGTACACTGTTGAGTATTAGAATGCTTTTGATTTGTACTCTGTTCAGAGTATTGGAATCCTTTTGTTCGCTAAACAGGGACTTGAAACATTTGTATTTCCTAATGGTGAACTATAGTCAGTATTGGACTTTATTTCATACCATATTATTGCAGCTTGAAATGGTTTTGTTTTTAACTTATGGAACATGCGATTTACGTTGTTAAACAGTGAAAATGTCTTGTTTTCATGAGGCTTAAGTTGTTTTTCTTTAGTTGCCTATGCCTACTATTGTAAATCCATGAGAGGAACCAACCCGCTACCACCAGGACAGTTCTCAATGGCAACCATTCAAATATATTTTTTGCTATGGGCTGGAATATATTTAAGGAGAGGTCATGTCTGGAAATGGTCCTGGAACGTCACATGAAGATGCTTTTTTATTTATATTTCTTTTTGTATTTCGAAAAACACATCTGTGCTTATGATTTGCTTATACTGCTACGAAACTGGATTTTTGTTGCTCCTGAGCTGCTCCAAAGCTGAACTTTTACTTGTCCAAAGCTGCTCCAAAGACTGAAGCTTGCTTCCACCCCTGCACGGTCCGTACGTACCAGGATCTTTTTTTGACCGGAGCTTCTTGCATTTTGCGAGAAGAGGCTCACATCTAGGAAAGGATCCGTGCAGGGAAGCCTCGACCGTTTTCTGCAGGCTCGATAAACATGTGCTCATGACAACCCGTGTTATCTTTTTTTTCATGTTATTTGTATGAGTTCATATATATTGAAGAAGCGGATATAGCGAAGCGATATCCGATTCTTGTAGACTTCGTTATAACTGGTCTCCACAGTATTAGGAAGTTTTCTTTAATGGTTGTGCATCTCTAACACCTCGTTGGGAATCCACTGCACATAGTGTTGTAGTGCCTTCACAATTCCCACAATTACAGTTTAACTACGCCTCCTGCAAGTCTGGGTCAAGTAAGATTGAATATCTTTCTGAACACTCCTTCCTTTTACAAAAAAAAAAGACAATTCTACTTTTGGAAGATAGCTTTGCTAGTGTACAGTTCTTGCCAAACTTATGTGAAGCTTGCAAACTGCGTCATCTTTTGTAGTGGTTGTTCAGTTGCCGCTGGGGCAGCACTTCCACGAGATGAGGTTTTGTTAAGCTCGTGAGCACTGTACAGTTGCGAACAACACGAAAAAGCCCATGCGAGCGTGTGACTTATTAGGCCCATCCGCGTTACCCACCAGAAGAAAGGAGGCTCGACCATTATCGAGGCTTTAGCGGCTGCTCAGTTTTTGTCGTTGCTCCTTGCTTGACCAGCTGTCACCAAGTTAACGCTGATTTTGCCAAATTATAGGGGCGTTGCACAACAAAAAGCAAAATCAAGCATGACTGAGTCTCGGGTTGGCAGGTCAAGCGTTTGGTTACAAGATCGTAGAATAAATCAAGATGAGCTGTTTTGTTTTATTTCTTTGAATGCTACTACTGTCGGTGTTAACTCGGCAATCATTTGCCGATTAAGTGGGGGGTGGAGACAAAAGGCAAACAGCCGCTGACGTGCCGCTCTTCCACGCAGTAGCCGCGATGATAGCTCGACTTCCTTCCGTTGGACAGCACTGGAGCTCTTTGGAACCACGCACTCGCCTGGGCTTATTCACATTCTCCGCGACTGTACGTAACCCGAGCAAGATTCATTCTAATTTTGCTAGAAGTGAAAATATTTTCTCCTTCCCTGCATTATTCTGGCTTAAGACAGAGAAGAGGCTTCGCGGTGATGTTGCACAGGTGAACTTTGGACGCGTTTTGTGCCTCCACGGCGCAAACGTCATTGTGCATTGCATCTCCAAAAGAAAGCTGTGCCAAAGCTGGTGCTCGAGGAGGGGCAGGGTTTGTAGCTTGTGTCCCTTGCGATTGTAAACTTCAGCTTTGGTTCTGCTATAATCCATCTTGGCGTTTGCTCCGAGGCGTGGGCTTGTTCTCTTTCCCCTCCCTTTCCGCATACTCTCCCACCAAATGTCTGAGCTTGCTTGCCCACCACAGTTGCGGGAAATTGCTTCAAGCCACGTACATAACACATTTCTGTGTTAAGACCTTTTTGAGGTGTTTTTTATCGCTTGCCTCAGGCGTTTGCATTTCTGGTTCAACCTCTGACTTGCACGCGTTGCACGTGTGCGCAGGGGTCAGTGGGTTCAAGTGGTCACTGCCGCCCTAGGGCTCTTGGTCGACTTGATGGACAAGATCACTGGCGTGAGAGAAAGCCTCAACGGCCTCTTTGAGGTAAGAGCGTCGGACTCGCAGCTGTCTTTGTGTCTACGAAATTTGTAAGTGCCTCTTGCCCGGGTGCCGTTATGGTGGGCTAGAGATGGAGGCGTGACTATCGTGCGAGCAAGGGTACTCCCACGATTCAAGCCTGCAAGTGCAGCATAATCTGTACACTCCAGGGTTAGCAGAGATGTTAAAAAAAAAAAAGCGGTCAGATTGAGTGTTTTGTTATGATTTGTAGAGGTATCGAGTCGCGAAGAGGGAACATGCCCCCGTATATTTATATTTCTCGTCTGCTTCATTTTATGTAGAGCTCTATTTCCAAAGAACTAATTGGTATTTGCCACTGTGGCACAGCTGCCAGCTTGCAGATAGTACCATGGTGGTAGTGACACATAAGGCATAGAGCATGGGACCACTCTCGTGCCATACTATAATAAATGATGTTACTGATGATGTTACTGCGAGCAGGGCCATGTGTTTAAAGTAGTGTTGTGCAAATATTAAAATTTTCGAATAATATGCTATTCAATACTCGCTTCAAGATGAACTGTGATATTCATATCTTCTCAAGTGTTGATCGCTGTAAGGTAGCCCCATGTGAATGTGCTTCTTACTCAGCACTGGTGCAGTGCAGAGAAGCGATACCTGTGGAATCGAGCTCCGTGGAAGTTGCTTCTCCATTGTGCACCGGTGCTCGGTAAGAAGTGTGCTCAACGGGGTTAACCCACCGCAATCATCGCTTCGAAAAAAACAAATAATGCAGTCACATGCTCACGGGGAAAGCACGCTTTCAAAGCCGAATAGTGGACGCGTGTGCCTGGTGTATTTAAAAAGAAACAACTTTGTGGATGTTGATATCAGCATTGCAGTATTATTTTCAAGATTGAACTGGCTATTATGCAAGAGTATATGTAAGGTGGAGATGTCCAGACGACTCGCATTCATCATTCATGATTGTCTTTTATTTTCTCAATTTCGAGGTTTAAGGAAGGATATTTGCATATAGCAAGAAGATTTATAAATTTCCTCAATTAGGTATATAGCCGGGCACCCCTATGGGTTTAATTTTATGTAAAACGTGTCGTCTACTTGCTATCCCATCGCAGACATTGTTCTTTCTGAGGCTACAATCTATACATACCATAATATCTCGAGATAGCCCACCTAAGCTCGAGCGCAAATAAGTGAAAATAAGGACTGGGCCAACTTTCGGTTGCAATCGATGAAAGTTGGAAAAAAATATCCTTTTTAGCTTACGTGACTTTGCCAAACTTATTATCGCGATGCAGGGCAATAAAGCAATAATGACTCGATCTCCCAATCGTTGATTGGGAGATTGTATAGATTTGTAGTTTAGGCTGTTAAGGTAGTTTGATTAAAATAACTTGGTTTTGAAATGGACAAGTGAAAGCTTGGGAACAACCTTCACAAGTTTATCTGATCTTTCGTTTAAATTAAGCACGGTGCAATCGTGAAAGGCTCGAAAAAACTATTCAATATTCAATTCGAAAATATTTGTCAAAAATCACTATTCGCTTTGAACTTAAAAATTGACTATTCACGCATGACTAGTTTAAAGGATACTCGCACTGTCTTTTTGCTCACATGGAGTTGCCGGATCTTTGTGAAGTAGCTGATATTTATAATTGCAGGGAACTATATGTAGTCATGACCTACGTCATACTTTTTGTGCTTCTTTTTCAAGTCTCATTCTAAGTTTTTCTCCATAGTCATTGAGTGGTGCAGGCATTTCTACACTTGTGACAGGAATTGCATCCATCATATACAACCTGTTCGTGCGAGGTTGCATCTGGCTGCACGCGTCGGGCGAATGGTTTTTAAAAGAAATATTTGGAAAAAAGTGATTGGGGGTACCACCTTAAAGGATTGCCCAGCACGTTTTTCTGGCTGAACTCAAAATTTATTATCTTGAGGTTTTATGTAAAACTACCACGGTCGACCAATCAGTGCAGGTAGCCAAGAGCCCAAAGGGCAACTTTGCAACATAACTTTAAAATTCAATAACAGTGATACCCAGATTGAAACTCTGCTTATTTTTCAGGAATCAAATGTGGCCCGTTACCTTTCTTTGGCAATGGTCTCTACCGAAGAGCAGACGGTTCTTGTTGCCTTCAAGTTGGCATGCTTCGGTCATTCTATTCCCAACTTCAAGTCTGACGAGTAAGTTGAAACAACGCTCGTTCTTGACAGCTGCGCCACTCGTCGTTGAGTTCCAAGAGGCGATCTAGGTTTTCTAAAAAATGTTTAGCTTCACGAAATGCCCGGGACGTGAAATTGCAATCTTAAAAAACCCTAAAATTTGAGTGATAACAGTTGACTTGGACCGAATGCTCGTGCAGCACTCGTTTTCGACGCACGCTTAGCCGAGCTCACGCTGAACGCTAACGCATTCGTTGTGTCCGATGCGTGCTCATTATGTGCCGAAATCAATGGTGGACTCGTATAATTGATGCAGCAGTTACTGGATGGTGCACACTTTTAAAACGGGTCTATCGTGGTACAGGCTTAAAGAAAACCAATATCTCATTAACTCTGTCATTCTCGTTCCTGCTTGCTGTAGTGTGCATTCAATAAAAAAACTTCTACGGCTACAGTAAGTGGAACTCTGTTTATGCAACCTTCCTGGATAAGGCGGAGCTTTGTAAAGTGTTTGTTTGATTCCTTGTGTTTTCAAAGCCGTCTTCTTTGTCTTCCAAAGAGGAGATCTTCCGCTAAATATAGAGCAGTTTTGTCTGTTCCCTTAGAGATTTACTTTCAAGGATCCTAATGTATTTTCTGTGTTCCGGTTACTTAAAGGGAAGATGGGGCACTTCTACATTTGAGAAAAAACGCTTGAATTGCGTTCATTTGGCCTTTAGAATAACAGATATCAAAATTATATTTCAATGCGACGCGCCGGGGAGCCACAAGAGCAATTTCAAAATAGGGCTGAAGCCCCGCCCCCCTAGCCTTGGGCAGCCAAAAGAGCCGTCGATGACGTCACGGACAGCGACTGTCTTTCGCGTTTTTCTCGCGTTTAACAATACTTACGCAGCAAATGATTTGGGTATTCGGGTTCACGGGGTAAAAATACACTAGAATTCACTTCTAACTCATTTTTTCCAAGAAGCTCCGTAGCTTCCCTTTAATGTTTGAAAGCTGAACATACAAAATGTATCATTTGCCACTGTAGTGCAATAGAATGCCCTTGAAAGCACCGCCTCTCATAAAATGACAGCTCTGATAGTTTCTCTGGCCTTAAAGACGAGGATTCTGATGTACATCATGCAATATCTTGTGTTGCAATGCTCATGATGTGATGGCGATGCTCACAACAGGATGTGGCGCCTCACGAAACACTGTTTGCGATACAAGGTTCAATCGAATTTATCTACAAGTAGGGCTGGGCTTGTTATCTTAAATTTCAGATTTATTTGTAAATTTCAATTGACATCCTCTTCAGTTGGACAATCAGTCATTTTGTCAGTTTGCAAAAAACACTGAATTCGGCCCAGTTGTACATACATAGTCGGAAGGTCTTTCGCGTGACAGAAAGTGGTTAAAAGTACTATACTGAACCATATCTGACTTGACTAAGTGGCTTGTGCTATACTTGTAGCCTCAAGGTCAGTTTAGCTCGTAGGGCGACGGCACCGTATTGGTTGTCACGAAGGCTACCTGATAAAGGGACACTCAATTTGAGTCGCGTACGAATGGGGCAAAGACTGGTAGACAATTAGAGCTGGGAAGTTACTCTTGGAAAAAAGTGGAAGCAGGCCATTTTTCCCAACAAAGCACGCTTGCGCTACCTTTTTCCAAATGTTTCTACGGCACAATTTTTCGGTATAGAATAACTTGCTGTATTTAGAATTATGCGCACTCGAGAGTCGGGCGGTCCTCACAAACCTTCTCTTTCCACCAGTGTGCCTAGAAGTGATGGCGATGGCTGTTAATGCGCGTAGTGACAGCCACTTTTATGCGTATTCACTCTTCATTAATGCAAAACCATTAACTGTCTCATGGAGCAAAGCTGGCGGCGTCTGTAACCGCAAAAAAGGGCACCTAAATTGGCTGCGACGTGTCATATCAGATGCTTTGTCAAGGCCGGCGTGGCCGCTCGCGGTCAAAGCGGACGCGCCTCGGCAATGCAAGGCTTCATCACGGAAGCTGTCGTGAAGCCGGGAAGGTTCGCCACGCCTGCGCAGTGGGGGAGGGAGCGTAACGTCACTGCCGCAGCGCCTTGTGCGATAGGAAGACGTGGCACGCTGCTTGTAGGAATGCACTGCATGTAGGAATGCTTTCACATTCCTACACATAAGCAGTCTTAAGTGTCTCGCTGAATTTTTTGCTACATAGGAAAGAGAACACAGTGCACAGATGAGTCCTGCCCGGAACTAAATGGAGGTAGGTGCCATTACGAGCAGTGGGCTTCTTTACGTTTGGTGGTACACGCAAATCGAGCTCTACGGCGAGAAACGCGTTGCGGCATCCCTCGCCACCCATAGAAGCAAAAGACACTGCCGCCTGGCAAGAGCCGAGCGCACACGCTTTGCCCGGAGTCGCGGGGCAGACGCCGCGAATGCAGCCAGTAGGTCGTTATATAATAGCTGTATCACCACAAAATGTTTCTTTATTGTTTCCAAGGTTTCTGAAGTCCTTAGTTTCGGAAAACCAGAGTCGGTGCCGGTCCCAGTCTCCCGCCGGATTCGTGCAAGCGCCAGGGCTCTGCCAGCCGGTCTTGAACGGCCAGGTTCCAAATGGCTGGAGGAACTCGGGTGCCGGGCGACGACGCTCGGTGGAGAGGAGCATCGACGAGATCACGCGCAAGCTGGAACAAAGCTTCGAGGTGTGCCGAGTGCATGTGCATGCTGGGAGGATGCCGTGCCGGCCAATGTAGGAGAAAACACGACTGTGCGCCGTGTACGGAGCCGTCAACTGCTGAGTCTGCAGTCACACTGCTCGTGCACATACAAAAAACATGGCATTTGCTGCAGACGTGGCGAGAGAATTATGCACGTCTCGAGCACATTCAAAGCATGTTTGCTTCATACGTAGTATGTATGCTTCGAGCATTTCTGCAGATTTTGTTTTTGTACGAAGTATTAGCGGTGTGACCGTAGCCTAAAAGTTACCGCCCACTGGGGACAAGGCATGCAATCATTGCTTCCTCTGCCTGCATGCTGTGATCTGTGGATACAATCAGTAGCGGCTCCCTTAGCTCCGAAGGGAGTAACTCGAGCCAGAGTTCTTGGAGCACCTACTGAATGGCAAAAGAAGCGTGGCTCTTGAGCTGTTCCTACGCAGTTTCCACTTCTTCCTTAGTGGTAGACTGTCCCCAAATAAAATAGAAGATAACGACGGCAAGCACAATCGCTTTTATTTGACGCCGCTATTGAAGGAGTCTTGAGAAGGTCGTTAGAGAAGAAGTGAGTGACTGTAGACATCAGCGCTGCTGTTCAAAGCGATCCTAAGCGACCGAGCCCTTCACAAGGCAGTGCGAAAGTTGCTACTGTTATAAAAAAAAAAAAATGACAAAAACGTCAACATACACAATATATGGAGCTTGGTGAATCTACACTGCCGGTTAAGAAGCTTTTATAGCTCCATACGTTTGTTCTGAACTTCCTCACAAACTTTCTATAAAATGTATTTGTATACACACGGGGAGGTCAGCCGCACTTGGCGATCAAGATTCTGTCGGCCGAAGCGATCGTCAGCCAACGTCTCGTACTCGCATAAACCCCCATTTAGTTACGCAAGCAAAACATAAATCGGGATCATGCTGTGCGTGATGGTCCGACTGCGCACCAGGGTCACGTTCATACCCTGCTTTGCTCTGTTGAGCACAAACAGGACTATTGTCGATAATCGCAGAGATTTTGCGCAACAGCAATCAAAACACAGCGTCAAATGAACGTTTACAGGGTTTATTAGGACGTCCAAAACAAATGAAATACACTCCAAGCCATTTACCGAAAAGAGCCCGAGCTGGTAATGAAATTTGAATGCGTTGTTATATTACCTTGAACACTTTTCAGTAATTAACAAAAGTGAGCAAACTGCCGACCCATGCCGCAGGTGACACAGCTTCTCCCGCTATTTTTTTTTTTTTTTTTCTCTTTCACCACTGGAACTTTGTCAGCTATCCGGAAATATGTCATACCGCACTTTTTTCATTCCTCACAGACCCTCTCAGGACTCGGTGTACTAGAGCGTGACTCCTTTACTCCAGAGTAACATGCAGCAAAACTTGCTTTTTGCCGTCTAATGGAAGAAGTGCGAGCTCCTTGATTCCTGGAGCCGCTACTGAACGCGCATTCTGCAATTTATAGTGTATCAATGTTTGTCAGTGGGCAATGAAGACATACTACTGTTTACTTATTTTTTCATAATTTTTAGAGCGCAGCTCTTCGGTGCCCGTTTCCGGGTTGAGCAATGTCGCCGTTGGCGTCTGCGTAATTGCGATGTCACGTGACCCCCCCCTCCCTGAGGTCATGTAACTCCTCTGAGGTCACGTGCCCCCCTGAGGTAACGTGACCCCCCCCCCCTGAGGTCATGTGACGCCCCATGAGGTGAACGTGACCTCACGGGGGCCACGTGACACCCCCCCCTCCTGAGGTCACGTGACCTTACGGCCTACGTGGCCCCCGTGAGATCATGTGACCCCCGTGGTAGAGTAGCAGGCAGGATGAGGAGGAGAAAGGAGGGGTATGCCCTCCCCTCAGTCCCCTTCCCTCCTCCTCCTCAAGAGCTGCGCTCTAATTCAGCATTACAGGGAGTTGTAATTGGGTTTCATTTTTTTTACTAATTTTTGTTGTTATTTGAAAAAGTTTTTGTCTGTAAAGGTTGAAGTAGACAACCTTAAAGGTCTCCTTCTCAGTGATGTGATTGCTGCACCGATTGCGCCAAACTGCGCCAAAGGGCTAACCCTGCTACATCCTGCTACATTTTGCCAAAATATGGGTAATCTGCGCCCAACCTGCGCCAGAACACAATTTTGGTCGCGTTTCAAAAACGAAACTAAACTGAGTACCGTAATTGAGCACGCGTAAGCTAGCTGGCGCAAGCGGCCGCCCGACACAAAGTACCCTGCATCAATTGTCTGTCCGGTCTTGCATGGTTTTCCCGCCGTCTCGCGTTCTCGTCGTGTCGTGGGTCTCCTCTCATGTCTTCTTTTTTAAATATATATATTTTGAACGATAGGGTGGCGGACGCTCCGACGCTAGCATGCCGGGTACCTGCCATGCGGCCCATGGCGTCACGCTGTGAAACGAAGCCACGCTTTTGCGCGACAGAAGTTAGTTTGTGAGCTCGACCACTGGCTCCTGAAAGCAATGGCCGTGGGAAAAGTATATTTAGTCCCTGCCTTCCAGTCACTGTGGTCGCGCGACGTCGGGTCTTGCCGTCCCCGCATCGCTGCAGATATGGCGCTTTCTAAAATGAAACTAAGTACCGCCGCATGTTCATCAAGATTCCTTTTCTTCTCTTAATCATACGTTACTAAACAAATTCCTCTTTAACTCAAAGACTGTTGTGTCAAAGTATTGATTAGCTAGGTTTCTCACGCTGGGCTTTCTTTCGAGAGGTACCCCGGTACATGAAAAATCTGCCTGCTGCGAAAGAAAGTTGGCGAAGAGAAGTGAGCTAAAGCAAAGAAGGCAATGTCTGCACGCTGAACCCACACAGCGCTCTTGTTTGTGTCGAGTTCAGTCGTTGCACAAAGCGCTCCAAGACCATTTTGACCGTGACTCTCGATGTTTTGCATCGATGTGCTCAGGTTCTTTTTTTAGTGTGTTTAGCTTGAACTACCTTGTTTGCCGACCCGGCAAGCACTCGCCGCTGGACTGTCTTTTGTCATATGCTCGACAGTTACATTTTGTATACAATTTTGGAACCAGTTGGCGGCGGAGCGGAGTGGCATGGTTTCGGTTTATATCAAACAGCTGTTGTCTCCGCTCGTGCGACGAAGCGCCCGCAGCTGCAAGCCTACTGAAGTTGCCCTCAGGTGCATGCGAACATGACTGCACGACAGAGGCACCAGCCGTAACGCTTGTAATGCAGTGTATTATGTTTGCTTTCTTTTGACGAAAATCTGGCACGCCATGAACCAGTAAAACGGTAGAAAGCAGTTTTTCGGAATCGCTTGGCAATGCCTACAGTAATGCGCTGTACACTTGTGAGATGTCTTAGCAGTAAAACACAAGCAGCGAGTTCCGTCACAACACGTCACATCAAAACACAACACAAAGTGCCCTTTGTTTGTACAGCACTTAAAACAAACATTTTTATTTTTCTAATAAAATCTGCTCCAAAAGACGCTTTTGCTGCTCCGGAGCACTGTCTTGGCTGCTCCAAAGACCACTTTTGCTGCTCCAAAACACTTGCTTTGGTTGCTCCAAAGGCCACATTTGCTGCTCCAAAACAATGTTTTGGCTGCTCCGATAGGTGCTCCAAAATGGTTTATGCCAATCACATCACTGCCTTCTGTAGTGTTGTATGTTTCTTGTGTGTGAAAAAGCAAGCATGAGCAAGCTTTATGATGACACTTAATGAATCCTTTCACTTACCTCCTGGCGTCAAAAGGGTGATGAAACATATTCGGGTGTGCGCAGATGGGAGACCTGAAGCACTCGGAGATTCTGGCCGTCTACGAAAACAAGATTGCAGCTCTCAAGGTCTGTTTACAGATGAAATGACCGTCTGCTTTGCTTGAATTTGCATTCATTTAAGGTAACCATTTTTGTAATTGCAAGTCTGAACATACTACTGCTAGCCATGACGACAAAGCAGTTCGGTAGGTATGTTAAAGGCAGGAGCACCCTCAAGCATTACAACTATTATATCGATAAAAAGCATACACATTTGAACTATTTACAGCATTCGTGGATAGACTGCTTCATTCGTCGAAAGATTTAACAAAAAAGAGTTCCTAAAAGAGTTTCTATTGAAGGGAGGAGGCACAGTGAACTTGTTGTGTTTTATTCTGGTTGTGTTATCACAGTTTGTGCAGTTATAATTGCATTGTCACAGTTTTAGACATGGTGAACAGCCAGGAATCACACTACTCTCTGTATGAGAATTCTGGTGGTTTTAGTTTTGCAACATTTTTTGTCTGCTTAATGTTTCTTGATTTTTTATTGTTGCACTACCAGTCAGGTTTACTCAGCATGCTGCTATTGTACATTGTGATCTAGTGCTTGAGTTGCAAGGATCGTGACCGAGCATGGCTGTACTGTGTAAAAAATGGAGTTCCATAACCTGCTCATTATTATTAGATGGGTGAGTGACAAGTTTCTGGCAGTGTGGCACTTATGTGACATATGCTTGTTATCGCTGTTCTTATTGATTCAATAGGCAAAAGAAGATGAGCTGCTTCATTTGCTGACAACGAAAAATGCAGCGCTTCAGCAGTCTGATCGCCTTGTGAGCCAGTACACCTGTAGCCAAGCGAGGAGAGAAGCTGAGGTAATGGATTACTGCGTAGAATGCAGGGATCCAATAGATAACCATCTACTAAAAGTTCACGAAGTTGGCCCAGCAGAAGTGAAGTTGGGCTTCAAAAATATAGCCAGATTATTGAAACAACTAAAACAAATTTCTGCCACTAAAACAAAATTTCTGCAGAAAATTTCAGCTCACTAATTGAAACAATGCTTTTGGAGTGAAGGATGAGAAGTAGTAGGGATCCTTTTTTAAATTTTATTATATTTCTGTAAAAAAACAAGTTTTAATAACTTTTTACGAAAATTTACTCTAAATGCGCCCTGTCCTGTTTCAAAGGTCTGGGCAACGAGACGTTAGAATCCTAAAAGTAGTTTTAAGGGGACCCTGCCATTTGTGGCCATCGCTCCGAGTAATTGGTATACAGACTGTTTCTGTGCTAAAGAACCGTCAACTTTTATGAAATTAAGGTTTCCATTTTAGATGGAGCAGATGAGAAGTCTACTTCGGGATTCAGAACGACGGCTTGAAGAAGCTCGGGAGAGGATGGACAGTGTAAGTTGAATGGCTGCCTCTTGAAACTTTGTCGCTTTTCCGGCAATGGTGGCGGGAGTGACTTGGGGGCATTTGTGCAAACCCAGGTCTCCAAAGACAAACAGGCGACCTCTGCTCAGCTGAAGGAAACCAGGGGTCAGGTCAAGAGTCTCGAAAGCCACATTAGAAAGCTGGAGGCCACCAATGACGCCCTGGAGGTCAAAGCTAAAAGGTGCTTCTTTCAGCTTTTCCTTTCATTTGCTATGTGCAGTCAACTCTCAGCAATTGAAAATGGGTCCCCAATTTTGCATGAATCATCGTAAGAGGTTGCATAAAGCAATGACTATAAAAAATACAGATCTGTTTTTGTCGTCGCACCGCTGGCAGTTGCGTACAAGGGCGTACATACCTCACTGTCTCAGTTCGTTTTCGTGGATTTTGATCGAGATAAAATCGTTTCATTAGGTCGGGGGATCTCAAACGTTTTGTTTCTGAGACGCTCCCAGTCGTCTTGAAAAGTAAGCAAGTGGGTAATTGACTCCTTGATGTCTTTCCAGTGAAACTGTTCTCAAGCTTACTGTCTTAAAGTGACTTCTTAGGCTTCGCTTATAGTGACACCTCAATGCGTGGTACAGCTGCACTTAATCGAGTGTACCTAAAGTTGTAGATTGTACCTCAATTTTAGAACTGCGCCTAAACTCGTGAACTGTTTTCAAACTTGCGAATGGCACCTAAATCTGTGCACTTTGTCCGAGCGTAAGAACTGCGCCTAACCTTGTGAACTGCACCTAAACTTGAGAGCTGTGCTTAAACAATCAATTGTGACTATTCTCGTAAATGAAGAAATTTGGGTTCTTCAGGCCACCGGTTTGGGAACCCACGAATTAAGATTACTGTTCTCATACGACTAGGTAGAAACAGCTTCTTGACCGCCTTCGTTGTTTCTTGTTTTTGTCCTCTGAGAACAGGCTGAAGGTAGTGCTGAAGAGCCTGGAGGTGCTGCAGCAAGACAACAAGTCGCAGTCCGAGATGCTTACGATGCTGCAGCGGCACAGCGACTCCATGAAGCAGAAGAATGACTCGTGCGTTTTCTGTTGCCCCTTGCCTCTCCCTGGGTGTCGTGTTTCGTTCGGTTTCTTCTACGCTCTGGGGTGGTGCACTGCCTAATCTGTATTCAAACAACGGGACCAGTCTGAGGTGTTGTGGTACCTTCATGAGGCTGCACGGGACAGCGACTCAGCTTGGGGAAGTTGGTGTAACAGAATGTCTGCTTACATGGTCTATGCTTAATGCTCGCAGTTATGGCTGGTTCACAGATGTGCACACAAGCGTGATCTAGCATGTTGTGCTCATTTGTGACCGTTTGCGAGAGAAGATGCTGGCGGCATCCATCTGAATGCTTTCAATTCGTGTACCGTAATATCCCGTAAGGGCGCCCACCCAAAATGAAGAGACATGGTGAAAAACATGGGGTGGGCTATCTTTGACGATGAAACAGCCAAACTCGATCAAAACTTAACGGTAAATGCAAGGGCAACCGCCAACAAACCACGCGACGTTGGAACTGCTACCGCAGGTTGCGGGTGCCGCAGATTCGCATTTAACGACGCGATAAACATGCGGGAATCTGCTACAAAGTCCTGTATCACGAGAAAGGGTGTTGCAGATTGCGGATACAGCAGGCTCGTGTTTTACAGCTCAAAAGACATGCGGAAACTGGCTGCAAAGTCCCGTGTCACGGATCGTCGACAAAAAGCGCGGGAACTCTTTATGAACTCAAATGTCGCAGGAGCCAATGTTGCACGCACAAGTTGCGCAAACCGATATTGTGTGCACAGGTCGCGGACAGACATACAGGAGCCCGCTGTGAACTCGCTCATTACACGCACCGGTACCGCAGATCGCGCGGTTAATGCGATTCCCGTCAGACATTAATTTGCGAATGCATACCGCAAAACCCTGTAAGGACGCCCTCCCTCGAAAGATCTCGGGGGAGGGCGCCCTTACAGGGTGCTTTGATTTATACCTGGTGAGTTCTCTGGGTCACAATTATTTTGTAATGTTATAGCTAGCATCATTTTGCATTTAAAAATAAAGTGTATTATTTCATCTACCTTTCATTTTCTTTTTAAATTTTTGCTCGGTTTTCTCAACTTGTCTCTCAAGCTCGTTTTTGGCATCCTTCCTGTGCATGCAAACTTCGCAGATACAGTTGAATCTCATTAAAGGGCAACTCCGGCCAAAACTCAAAATGAAATAAATTACTGGTATCGCTGTAGTTACACAAAATACGACTTCGGCCAAAATATTACGTCCGTAGGACGCCGCATTCTCAACTAATGCCGATAACAAAAATGCGACCCGCCGCGAGCCGCCGCTTTTTAGCAGGCGCCCAGCGGGTTGCCGATCGCTGAAGCAACATTGGGCCGTGACGTCCGTATCGGTCCCTTTTTCTCCTCCGGTGCGGGCGTTGTGCGGAGTGCGCTTCTTTGAGCCGCTACCACCGCTACTTCGGCTTGTGATTGGCGTGTTAGCCGTTGCTTTTATCTGTAGCCAGTGTAGCTTCGGTATAGCCTTTTGTTAATTTGCTTGTGAGGACTGTAAGACTCGTTTTAGCGAGCAACGCGGTGCGCCCAAGACTGCCCAGCTGTTCCTCGAAAGATGCCGAGTGCAACTTGTAGCGCTGTGGGCTGCTCAAACAACCCTTTGCGCAACACGGAGGTGCTTTTTCACAAGTGTCCGACGGACCAGAAATTGGAGAAGGTGTGGGTGAACGCTGTTCGACGAGTGGACTTTGGACTTCGGCTTTTACGCGCCCGACGAAAAAAAGAACGAAAAGCACTCGTGTTCAGCCCACCACACGTGTGTTCGGGCGCCGCGGCCCGCGCCGGAGCCTAAAACCTTCGTGTCTGGGACTGACCCGCAGCGCGAAAGCGAGAGGGCCCCCAGTATTGTACGTCACTGGCAGCGCGGCGTAAAGCAACGCCGCTCCATCCACGGAGCCAGATGACAATTTAGGCCAAGCGACGAGTGCGGAAGACCACACACACGGCGACAGCCACCGAGTACGGCACCGAACGAGTTCACTTGTTCTCCAGTCGCTAGCTTTTGGGTATACAAGCGGCGAATACGGCATAGCGCACGCACGGCGGTGGCCGCCGAGTACGGAACAGTACGAGTTCACGGGTTTTCCAGTCGCTAGCTTTTGGTTATACGCACTAACCTTTGCTACATATGGTCGATAACTACCACGTATACAGAATTAAAAGAAAATCAACTTACCTCCTACCTCTAGACGGCTAGCGCAACAGAGGTAGGTGGCGCTCGGCCTGCGTACTCGTTGAACGAGAACGATCGTGACGTCACGTTCACATAGCGGCTGATTTCCAGTGTTGCCGGGGCCTCGAGCGGCTAGTTTCGGTTTTGTTGGCCGCGCCCAAAACAAAACTTTCAGGCGTCGATATCTTTAAAACTACGCACAATAACAAGAAAAAAATTACACCTTGCAATTCAGGGACGCTGACTGCACTAAAAACAGTCATAATCCCAAAATCGAAAGTATGGACCGGAGTTGCCCTTTAATTCATACTCGGGGGGGGGACCGAAAATTTGTTTGAATAAAGCAAAGTTTGAATTACTGGGAGATTCCTCCCACAGAGATACATAGGATGGGACCTGCATGTTAGTTTGAATTGAAGAGAGTTTGAATTAATGAGGTTCGATTGTATGTAAGGTTTCATGCATGGAAGTTGATAGGCACAAATCGTTCGTGTGCGTAGACTTCCATACATGTTAAACGGGTGGTGCATCGATTTTCGTACTTTGGTCAATCAATTGCAAGAATCATTTTGTGTCACCTATAGAACGAAGAACAGAAATCCACATTTTCTTGCGCGGTCTAGTTTTCATTTAAAAAATGAAAGCCGTTTACAGCTCCCTGTAACGCCGAATTAGAGCGCAGCTCTTGAGGAGGAGGGAAGGGTACTAAGGGAGGGTATACCCCTCCTCCTGACCTTTTCGTCCTGTCTGCTACTACCTCCGAGCGTCGTCGTCGTCGCCTCACGAGTGTCACGGGACGATCACGTCATAGTCATCATCATCATCACCAGTGACGTCACTGATGACGTCATCGTCATTGTCACTGATGACGTCGTCATCACTGCGTCATCGTCTTGTTGACATCATTAGTGACGAACTTGCCGCGCGGTTATCTGACGGCGACGTCGCTTAAGCTGGAAACGGGCGCCTAAGAGCTGCGCTTTAAAACATGTCAAAGGTCAAAATGCCCCTGAACCCCCAAGCCATCCTTCGAGTCACATTCTTCGGGCTACCACCTGGTGTCTCTATTGGGTCTCCTCTTCAGAGACCGCAGCCACTCCCTCTGCAATTGTCGACTTATCGAGGACTAGCATCGCCAAAGGTCACGGCGAGCGATCGACACAAAAGATGGTTCGTCACGGGGCTGCCGGCGAGTGTAGCAGCGGAGGGGGGCAGGTTTTGTTGACTTCCTCGTGCTTCTTCACTTCTTTATCTTCTTTTCTTTTTTTTCTGCAATTTCATCTTTTTCTACAAAAAATTAACTTTTCTTGGTACACTACCCCATTTATTTATTTTAGATTGGTTTAAGTCTGCCATGTGCAAGCGAAGCAGACAGAGGCACAGTTTTTTCTTTTTCTTTTTTCTAGCCTCAACTCAATTATGTCCCCCAGTGACGTGCCACTGTAGTTTCCATAGCCGCCACACGCAGCTGCAGATTGGCATATAATTCTTTTTTTCCTTTGCAGTTACGCAATACATGTAGGCTCTCATGCTTGTGAAACTCCACACATGCGAATTTTGATCCAGCTGACACATCTCTTATCTCTCTCACTAGGCTTTCAAAACAAATTGATGACATTGAAGCAGAAAAAGAAGAAATGCAGAAGCTGATCAAAGAGCATAAGGCCAAACTGAAGGGTAAGCACAGTTTGGACTATTGTTGATAGTAAGGATAACATAGACTAATGGTTCTTAAACACCAATGTTCTGGGGACCCTTTCTGAACTAGCAGAGGTGATGAAGGACCCTGTCCAATGGGGGGGAAGGCAGGGGGGCAGTTGAAGTGATGGGCCATTACAATAACAAAAGGGTAAATGAAGAAAACTAAGTGCGTGCAAACCTGCTTTCAAGCCCTGAAATGGAGAATAATCAACCCTACTCACTGGGCACGCATGATTTGATCTCCAGTCGAGGAAAGAAAACCTACAAAAGATAGAGATCACTTGCTCCTAAAGTCTCTTGCACGCAGTGGCCTTATCCGGATTAAAAAACATGACTCCGTATCGGACAGCGACAGTGAACGGGTGTTGAAATATTCTGGCCCTGATTAGCCGTTCTCGCTTGCTTCTATAATCTTGTGTGCTAGCTTATCCTAATGTTTACTAGCACTTCTCGGAGTCAGGGGTGCACCCACAGTCCTGGCAATGGACTCGAAGGTGTCTTCTACACTACCCCAGAAACATTATGCCAATGCTCTCTTAATTGCTCATTCAGACATTGTCCGGTGTCTGTCCTACGTACCGTCTGCCGCAGGGCAAGGGGATAGAGTCTGTGTCGTTCCGCTGTTCATACTTTCAATGAAGTTAGGCAGCTGCTCCGTACGTTATCGGGTGAAAGGCTAAAGTTTGACTATGACAGATTTCTGTATTTTATATATGCTGGTCTAACAGATTATTGTGCAGCTTTTCAGTTTCTTACCACAGTTTTCAGGAAATATAAATTTGTAGAATTCATGCTTCAAGAATATAAAATATGCTTGATACCTACACAAACTTTTGGACTTATGAGATGTGTTCACATGACTTGTTTAGATATCATATACTTGTTGAGTTTTATCAAATTTTGATATTTTGTACAAAGAAGACAGAAAGAGCTGTTTGGGGGTTTTTCCAATTTTGCTCATCTTCTACATCTTTCACTCGAACGGAAAAAATTAAACTTCTTTTGTATGCTTTTCCTGTTCAATCTTAGTTATGAATTGCTCATAGCCAAATGGTAGTACTTTACTGTCTTTTTCATAATAGTATACGTGATATTATATCCCTAAAGAATGCTAATATATGTAATTCTTTTCTTCCATGCTGCTTTTTCTCCAGATCAAGCCAAATGCATGCACATGCTTCAGACAAAACTGGACGAAAAGTCAGCCCTTGCAAAGTCTCTCGCCAGCGAGAAGAACAGCTTGCAAGATGCAAACAGCTTGCTACAACGAGACAAGTCCAACTTGGAGCATGAGGTAAGCTTCAAGTTTGGCAACGCATGGTGCTTTATGAGAATATGTTTTTGCCAGGACACATTCTAAGTAGAGAATGAAAGGGATACACAGAACACATTTAGAATGTACAGAATATTTTTTTTAAATTTAGTCAGTCTGAAATTTAAAATGAAGAAAAAGGGGAACTTGCATTAAGGTTTTTTTTAACCCTGGAGCTGCTAGAAAAGTATGAAAACAGTTTGACTAGTTGGCTAATTTACTAAAAGTTATCACCGACTTTTTAAAGCTGATATATTTGGGGGCACGTTGTACTCGGAGAGGTACGGCGATGCCGGTTAACACCGTAGATGAGCAATTTTGCCAGTGCAGTACGACTGCTAGCCCGGCGTTTTTGACATGCGTCTTGCAGTGGTGGTACACGACCACCCACCGGTACGATGTTCATCCAGATTGAATCTAGCAGGGACGGGAATCGAACCCTGGGTTTAGCAGCGCAAGCATTTGCTCAACGTGCTTCGAGCCTCGGTGCGCTAGCACGCTCGGCCCCTGATGCCCCGAACGGACACAGCGTAGTCTAGTCATGCCTCCAAAGTCTGAACAAAGATTTCTAGTCGGTGCCACACAGTGAGGACTGTCACCTGTTTGCACAGCTTCTAAGCGGACAAAGAGCAGTGCCATCACAACTGTCCTTGCTCGGAGAGCCTGCTTAGTTTCGACGCCGTGTACATGGACGCTATTTCTCGCCTTTTAGTGCCTCCCTGTAGCGGCGACTGCCGTGATGGTGCCTCTTTGTTTCCACAATTGTATTGACAACTTGTCGTACAAGTTCGAACGGAAGCCCGTACATGGCACGCCGACGTCTTTGGCGCTCGCAAGTATCTCGGAAGACATTTCGATGCAGGTGAGCGTTCTGACATGTGCAATGACCTCTCCGGTCGCAGCTTCAGGCCCTGGAATCTCAGTGCCAGAAGAACGAGTCGGCGCTCCAAGCCAAGACGGCGCTCGTCGAAAAACTCCGGTCCCAGCTGGACAAGCACAGGCAAATGCAAGAGATGATCCGCAGCATCAGCGCTCCTACGTACGACACGTCGGACGAATGATGGTTGTTGCGACGATGACGATCGTGCATTTGGTGCCTCGCAATTGTCGGTGCAAGCACCGCCTGCAAACGTGTGGACTCTACTGCTTTATACGCATTTAGGCACGAGCAGATCTTCCCCCGTAAACCGGCCGGGAAAAGCCAGCGCCTGCACGTGTGACGCTCAATCTCTCTCCGAATGTGCACCGAGCAGGTTGGTTTTATGGCGCAAAATTTCGAGGCTTAGCTCTTTTTCCATAAAAAACGAGAACGACAAACTTGCCAAAGTCGATGTTGAGCTTGTTCGCGGAACAACAGAGTCGGCGGCGCCATTTGCCCGTAGTGCCATGTCGCAACGGGTGCGGCGAGCGGGCAACAGGGTGGGTCGTCTACTTGCTGCACCCGTCAAAAGATGGCGCCTTGAGCGAATGGGGTCACCAACTCAGTCTGCGAACTTTGCCACCTTGACCTTGGCAAGTATTTTGCTCTCGCTTTTTACCATACGCCTTGAAATTTTGCACGGTAAGACTGACTTGCTCGCTTGCACCACCTGATACATATTTTTGGATTATTGTTTTTTTCGCGAGGTTCGTGGCATGCGTGGAGCCGGTCACTGAAAGACTGAGAACGACAGGAAGGTCCTTCAGTCACCATGCCTTCAGCACAAGCTTCATACTTTCGATATCACTTGGGCATCTCGTGAGCTCCGGCGTGCTTGCACTGCCAAGGGATGCCAGAAGGCAAGGAGCGCGGGCTGGAGGCTGGCTGGCCTTCTCATTCTTTCGGGAGTCTATGTAGTGACAATACTTTGCCACGAAAAAGACTAATATTTGTATTTTTGAGGTGTGCAAATGATTAAATTATGGACGCGAGTGTGGGTAGCTGTTTGCTGCACGTGAAATGGAATGTGCCGAGCAACCATGTTTTTTTTTTTATGATGATTTGGCATGACTGTCACTCAAGCCTTGAACTTTGTCGGTTTTGATTGCACCAAAGTGTAAGAGCACGTGACGGCTTTGTGTCAAACCTCTCGGCCATGGAGTGAGCTGGTTCTCTGTGAAGTGGTGTGTTTTTCTTATTTAGTTCTTTATTTTAGTATTGGTGCGTTTTTACTACTCGACCGTTCTCTATGGAAAATCATGCTACGTTCACTAGATTGTCTGTATAAACTTTCTAAAATATTCTGCTTCTTTATTATGTTTTCTTCTAAAAAGGCGTGTTATATGCACTATGCATTTCGCACTTAATCAGTACCTTGCTTTTGCGCTCACTCAAAAAATGGACTAAATTTCGAAGTTTGGTTTTGCAAAACAAATTATAGTTTCTTGTCATTTGTATACGCTCGGTGTTAAACGGGTACTCCGGCCGTTTTTTCAGCTACCTAAACAAATTGCATTTTTTGAATTCCCAGACTTTAGTCTTCTTGGTATGCCATTTATTGTCTCGAAATTCAAAATAGCTATTGGGAAAACCATTAATAAATATGATGCCGAAACCAAGATTCAAATTTCTGCGCACTCTCCAGTGGTGCGACGTCACAAATGGTACAGACTCTCTGGGCGCGCAGGTAGTCTTAGAATGTGTCGGGTGTTTCTTTTGTGATTCTCGGTGAATGAATTTCCAAGCATCCTTTTCCCACCATCGAACGTCTTGTAATCAGTTGTGAACGTTGTTTACTGCCCACTGTATACTACTTCTGTCGTCACACTTCAGTGTTGCCAGTGGGGGCTGTCGGTTTGAGAAACACAATGAGATGGGAATTTGAAAATTCAATAACTTTGCGAATATTTGGGGGACTGGTACAGCCGTGTCTCTCAGCGTGTTGAGCCGAATTTGAGGCAAATCGGCGACCATAAATAAAATCACTGAAGTACCCAGCAAAATATTGGTGGACAGCAATTTTTATAAAATTTTTCCCATGCACCAAATATCCTCCTTTTGGGTTTGTGTATGAAATATCTCATTAAAATAATCATTTTCTTTTCGAGAAAGGGAATTTTGAAGTTTACGTGTACACCCCTGAATCGCTGTCTGCCGCTCTACTGGCAACAGTGAGCAGGGGCGCTCGTGACGTCCAATCAGGGCCGTAACCAGGGGGGGGTTAGGGGGTTCTGACCCCCCCCCCCCCCCCCCCCCCCGAAATTTTTTTCTGGGTACGGCCCTGGTCGGTGCACTGGCAGCCAGCTGATTTTAATCTTCACCTCTGCGCACGCGCAGTGGCGCCGGTCGGCTACCGGGTACCAAGCCGGGACCGGTTCTCCGGTTTGCTGTAACTCTCTATTATATGCCACCGATGCACATGATTCATAGGCAAAAACAAGACAATAGACACTTTCAAAATGGCCGCCGTTGTCCCCGAAACCCCCGCCCCCCCCCCCTCCCCAAAATTTTTTTCTGGGTACGGCCCTGCGTCCAATGTTGTATCCAAGAGCAGACAATGCTGCCTTCTGCACGGCGTCTGCATTGTGGTGATAGTGAGCATCTGTCATTGGGCGGATTGTCTAATTTAGGCTATTTGCGGCACGCAATGGAGGTTGGGGAGAATGTGTGGGGTGCAATAACACCATGAAGAAATGCAGCAGAGCGACACCTCATGGGTTTCCGACAGAGAGGTGTCTGCGACGGAATTGGATCCGAGCAGTCCGATGCGAACGCTGGCTCCTAGTATTACCATCGTGCTATAAAAAGTTTGCAGCATGCTAGCAAACGAAATCTTCCATATCATTCTGCTTCTGAAGTGGCATCTGGGTTTACATGTTGGCGGATCGTGGATGCAGCCACCATGGGTTGCCTCCTCGGGGGCGATGGCGGTGGATTAGATGCGAACGATGTATTGTCTGAAATCTCGCGCTGGAACTCTTACGACATTTGCTAGTCATTGCTTGACTCAGGCGAGCTCTATGAATCATAGTCCATTATTTCCCTCGGATGATCGCAACAGCCTTTTGATTGCTTCTGACGCCGTGCGAAACAGGCTCAAGCTGCCCATGTGCTGATGTTTATGCGGAGTGCAAGTTCGTCTGCTTCTTTTGCAGGGGTTGTGGGGACGTCAGAACATTTAGCTCTGATTGGCTTTGATTGAAGGATAGTGGTTAGACCTCTAGGCAGCTTGCCTTGAGGTCTACCCACTATACTTCCAATCAGAGTCAATCGGAGCTTGGTGTTCTGACGTCTCCGCAACCCCTGTCAAAGAAGCAGACAAACTTGCGCTATGCATACAACATCTGACGTTACAACAAGATGGCGGACCAGTGACGTTGCAGGTTAATTTCGGTTTTATCGTAACTGCAATTAATGATTATTTGGAAAGTTTTTGGGAAAATTTACTCGTGGCTCTAGGCTAGGTTCCTTGCACTCTTTCAGAAGATATGCTTAGTTGAAAACATTCCAATTTAACGCCGGAGCTACTACCTAGCATTCTCGACGTCTGCATGTATAGGTGTGTTTGCTACCGCTTTACACAGGTCCTTCTTGAACCTTTCTTGCCAATTTTGCTGACCACCTAAGGCTACTCAAGAAAGTACTCTTGCGAAGCACCGCAAATTGGTAGCTTCACTATACTGCCTCAAGCACGTCTTTGACAGATCTGTTCGCCGCCTTGAATGGATCCCTCGATTTCCACCCGAGGATGACGTAATACTGTCTTGATGTTGCCCCTGCTGCAATCCTTGCGGTGGCACAGCGATGGAGGTGGGTGCTGCAGACGCCTGTTGTGCTGTGGCTCGCTCAGCTCGACGGTCCGCGCAACCTTTGCAGCAACAAGTTGGGTTGCTAAGAAGACCGCGACACTGGCATTTGTTCTTTGCCCATAACTTCCATCACTAACTGCCAGGACCGCGACAACCGACAGCAAGACATGTCGGCTCCTGTGACGTCATTTGTTGCCGCTTCAAGATCACTTTTTTGAGTAATAGACCCTTTCTGGAATTCAGTGCCATCTGGTGACTCAAATGGCAGTTTAACGTTTACCGTACTAATGGCGGCAATGAACCTGGGGTCTGCAGTATTTTATGGGTGCCGTCACTTTCGCAAGTCAACGGTAAACGAGAATGTGCACTTCACAGTACAGTTCTTTTTCAATCTCGGTGTCAATGGCGAAAAAAAAATTCAACCAGTCAGAACGAAGCACCAACCCACACAGATGCCTTAATAAAGTTCTATACATTAGGGCCTTTGAAGAAGAGTGTCTGCTACTAACATAATAACTGGGCTCGAGTTAGAAATGAACGTTTACGCAGCTCTTGCATCCCATTCCTGCTTCACGTTGCGCTAACGCCTAGAATGTATAGGCCACGAATTATCTGCCTAGTATCACCTTCTACTTCTTCCTTCATCAGTAAACAGAAGGCCGCCATTAGTATAGCACATTAGTCGTTTTTCAGATGATAGCGACTAAAGTTGCCAGACTGAATTTTGGAAGGGTCGATTGGTTTCGTACAGCTCGCGAGTGATGAACGGAAGACATAGACCGGTAAACTGCGTTACCTTGTACACCTGGAGGAGACTATCCTTGTTTTCCAAGCCTGACCGAGTGGTGCAGGAAGGAGTCCAATTTTGGGGCACTCTGCAGTCTTGCTGAACTGAGTGGACTGCTCAGTCTAGGAGGCCTTGGTGTGCACTACGCATAGGGCGATGACATCTAACCATTTTGTTTCGAATGCTTCTTTTCCTTTTAATGCGTTAGCATTAAAGTACTTGTTTTCACTAAAACCCGCAAGTGTCAGTCCACGTGTTAGCGCCAAGCATGATGTCGCATGGAGAGGAGTGGTGAGGGTTATCGTGTAGGAGGGAAGAGGGAGAGGATGACTCGTGGTGACGTCAGCACTTCAGACCAATACGAGCGTTGCACCGCTGGCACGGAGCCAGAATTGAGCAGGCGCCGCGCCGCTTCGGAACGCGGCCCAACTCAGTTGCCGCTCCGGCGATGGATATGGTTCTCTCCATGAGTGATATGGCTAACCGTATCCAAGAGCGACGACGGAAGAAAGCCGAGGACAGGTGTTTCTTTGAATCGAATATGATGGAAATGCTCCATTGAATGAATCCCATTGATCGTTGAACCAAATTTTTAGTTATGGAGCACTGAAAGAGCATCTCCAGGCTCTAGCTCGTGGCATTGAATGTGCTACAGTGGCATTTTGTTTCTGGTTATTTCTGTTTGTTTTTTGTGTGAGTGTGCACTGTTGGCAATGGGTTCTACAAAGGGGTGTTGTACGGTTGACCCGTGTGCAGAACCACAGATGCGCTACATTTAGAAAACCTATGTTCAATGGCCCCGTTTCGTATTCCCCACGTGCCGCATGCCCCGGCTTCACCTGATCTATATGCCCCTTCGCACTTTTTCCGGCATGGTTCTGTTCCTTAATCTCATCTTTTAGAGCGCAGCTCTTAGGGGCCCGTTTCCAGCCTGAGCGGCGTCGGCGTTGCCGTCGGCGTAACCGGGGGGGGTCACGTGACCCCCCCCCCCGAGGTCACGTGGAACCCCCCCGACGTCACGTGACCCCCCCAGGTCACGTGACCCCCCTCCCCCGAGACCATGTGACCCCCGGGGTCACGTGACTACCCGCAGGTGACGTGACCCCCCCCAGTACCCTTCCCTCCTCCTCAAGAGCTGCGCTCCAATTCGGCGTTACAGGGATTTGTAAACGGCTTTCTTTTTTTGTTTATAATTGGTGCACGAAGGGAAGAGAACATAAATTCACAGAGTCTTTTACGTTATCCCTAAGTCGACTTGAAGGCGAAAGTCCAAGCACCTATGTAAACACGATAGCGAACCTCCGAAGACAGTGTCATCTTTGATGACGCACTTCTGGCGCCGTTTTATTGGCTCACGCGGATCATGGTGTCGGCTGTGGTCCCGGTGATAGCAAACCTCCAAAGACAGCGCACTCTCTGACGACACACTTTTGGTGCCGTTTCATTGGTTCACTCGGATCATGGCGTCGGCTGTGGTCCCGGTGATAGCGAACCTCCGAAGACAGCGCATTCTCTGACTATACACTTTTGGAACCGTTTCAACGTGTCTTCATACTTTTCGTGTCGCTTACGTGTTTTTGCGTACGGACCTTGAAGGTCGACTAAACAATGAGACATATTAGGCTTTCGCCTTAATGAGAGGAGGTGAACTGGGACCAAAGAAAAAAACATTGGCTTTACGTAAGAGTTGCCGTTTGCTGAAGTCTGC